GGCCTAAGTTGGAGAAGTTTCTTGGCTGTGTACAAAGGAGACTTTTCTTGTCTTTAAAGTTTCAGGCTCATAGAAAAATTGAGAGGAAGGTACAAGAGATTTCTAATATAGTCTCTGCCCCTGCACATGCATACCTTTCCCTCGTTATCAACCTCCTTGACCAAAATAGTACATTTATTGTAATCGATGCGCCTACATTGACAAATAATTATCACACTAAGTCCAAAGCTTACATAAGTGGTCACTCTTGGAATTGCATATTGTGCTGGTCAGTTTTTGTCAACTTGACACGATCTAGAGAGAGAGACACCTGGGAAGAGGAAACCTCAACTGAGGAATTTCTTCCATCAGATTGGCCTGCGGGCATGTCTTTGGGCATTTTCTTGACTGTTAATTGATATAGAAGGGCCCAGCCCACTGTAGGTAGTACCATCCCTAGGCAGGTGGGCCTAGGCTATATAAGAAAGGTAGCTGAGCAAGCCAGTAAGTAGCATTCCTCCACGGTTTCTGCTTCAGTTCCAGCCTTGAACTCCTGTCCTGGCTCCCCTTGATGATGGACTGTAACCTATAAGCTTAAATACACTCTGTCTTCTCCAAATTGGTTTTGCTGTTTATCACAGCAACAAAGAAACCAAACCAAAGTAGAACACGTCTTTTTTTTTTTGGTCTTTTTGAGACAGGGTCTTCTTGTAGCCCCAGCTGTCCTGGAACTCACTGTGTAGACCAGGCTGGCCTTGAACTCACAGAGATCCGAGTGCTGGGACTAAAGTCATGTGCCACCACACCCGGCCAGTAGAACATATTTTAAGGGCTTGAAAAACATATAGTGACATGCATTCATCTATGTGCTATCGCATGAAGTATGTACACAGGCCTGAAGATCCTGAGTTCCACTCTCCTTTTGTCCTTCATCTGGCGACCATCAATTTTTTTTATTGCTTTCAGCTTTTTCTTCTTCATAACATCCTATAAATGTAACCATGCAACATGTTGCCTTTTGCCATGGACTATTTCACTTGGTGCTGTGCATTTGAGGTTCCTTGGTGTCTTATCACAGCCTGATAACTAATTTGTTTTTTCTGGCACTGAATAGTATCCTGTTATCTGCATGTATAATTTACTCATCTACTGGAAGAGGTCTTGGCGACTTCTGAGTTTTGACAATTATTAATAAAGCTGTTATAAGCATCTGTGTGTATGTTCTTGCCTGGGTATACATTTTTAACTCATTTGGGTTTTATAGTAGGAATAATTTTAGTTCTGTGAGAAACTTCCATCTGCTCTCCAGTGGAACTGTGCCATTTTGTGTTCCCTCATCAATGAATGAAAGTTCCTTTTGTTCCAGTCCTGCCAGCATTTGGTGTTGGCGTGTTCTGGATTTTGGCCGTTCTAGCAGGTGTGTGGCCATACCTTGTTGTTATTTCACTTTGCACTTCTCTCTTACATCCAGTGTGCAGATCGTCTCATAGATGCTTACCTTCTTTGGTGGGGTGGCTGTTAGGTCATTGGCTCTTTTTAAAATAAAGGTTATGTTTGTAACTGAGTTTTAGGAGTTCTTTGTAGGTACTGGGTAACATTCCTTTATTTGATGTCAACCGAAAATATTTCCTCCTAGTCTTTGGCTTATCTTTTCATTTTCTTGACACTTGTCTTTCACAGAGCAGAAATTTTCTCTCCTTCTCTCCTTTTCTTTCTCTCCTCTCTTTTCTCTTTTTCCTGTCTCTTTTGGTGATGCTTAAGCCTCAAACTCATGGCCCCATGCATGCTAAGCAAGCTGTCACTGAGCTAGCAATATCTCTAGCACAGAAAAATTTAATTTTCACAAGGTTTGGATTATTGATACTTTCATGGATGGTGTCTTTGGTGTTCCTCTAAAGGACTACCATTAAACTCCAGGTCATATTCTACCTTATCTCCAGGAATTCCTATATATTTATGCTTTGCAGTTAGGGCTATAATTCATTTTGAGCTAACTTTTAATAGATGTGTGGTCTGTGTCTAGACTTACTATGTTTTCTATATGGGTGTCCAGCTGTTTCAACATACTTTTTTGAAAGGACAAATTTTCTGTGCTGTATTGCCTTTGTTCCTTATCAAAGATCATCAGTTGCCTGTTTATGTGGTTCTACGTCTGGACTGACTGATCTCTTCTAGTTACCAACTTTGCTCTTGTCCTTCAACACTGTATTTGCTGTTTGGGGGCTCTTGCCTCTCCCAGGGATGTCCAACTCCCTGGGCCACATCTGACACAATTATAAATGTGGCCCGATAAGAAAACATAAGCTTACTTAAAACATTACAAGATTTATTTTTGGTAAGTTGTGTATCTCTTGAGCATAAACTTTGTAGATGACATTCTGTCAGAAAGTCATTTGATGATAAATACAGAATAACTAATTGGGATTTTGATTGGGATTTCATTGAATCTCTCCATCAAGTTGGGAAGAGCTGATACCCTGAGTTTTCCTATCTGTGAACATGAAATATCTTGCCCTTTATTTGGTTCTTGTTTTGCCCACCTATTTTCTCTTCTTCCTCTAGATCTTGTGATATTTTGTTAGATTTGTGTCTATGGATTTCTTCATTCTGGGAGGTGCTAATATGAATGGTGGTGTATTTTGAATTTCAAACTCTACTTGTTTATTGCTGGTATATAGGAAAAATATTGACTTCTGTGTATTACTAACCTATCCTGCAGCCTGACTCCTCTTTCTAAGCTGTGGGTAGAAGAACCTCCTTTCCTTCTGATGTTTTCCTGAGTTCTTGTCCAACATCCTCTCTGGGTACCTCTGATCCTGGAAGAGGCAAGACAGGGTAGCCCAACCTGATCAGACTTAGGGAAGTTTCTCTACTCTGGAGGCAGGAGTGAAGACATTATTAGCTGGAAATGCTTCCCATCACATAAGGGACTGCAGATTTCTTTGCCACAAAAATTTTCAACATGACTCCAATGGAGTAAATGAAATGGGAGGATGGTACTGAAAACTAGTATTAAAGAACCACTTCCTTTTCTCCTCCTGAGGATATAGCAGGGAAGCTGAGGGAAGAAATATTTCATCCAAGTAACATAAAAACAACAACACAAAACTGTATATAGGAACCCCCTCTTTTCTTTGAAGTCCCAAAACCTATCAAAGTTTGACAAAAATACAGATCTCATTTGCTCAGGAGATGAAGGCAAGAGGACAAAGAAGATCGAATCTGAGGCCAGATTGCTGTGTAGGAAGCTCTGGATAAGCCTGGGTGACATACTGAGACCATCTTCTAAGAGGAAATAAAGCAACCTTTGTTTGCCAATCCTGGAGTATGATCCTCTGCTCATGTTGTTTGTTTGATACCATGGAAACACAGTTGGTCTCAGGAGGTAAAAACATGCCAGGAAGGAGACCAAAGGGTGGGCCTGATACTTTCTTCACCATCCAGGTTTGAAAAAATACTGACTGCTATCTGCAGTGGAAAATACTAAACTCCTTATTATAGTAAACAAGACCCTCTTTCCTCCAGAGACCCCTAACTTCCAAGGTAAAGAATTCATAGTTTTAAGTGGTCCCCATAATTAAGACCAAACAGAGGAAATGGACAGAACTCAATAGTAAGAGCCTGTAAGTGACCCTCAGGCAAGAACCATGGGCCCCTGACCTCAGACACTTCAAGGCTGGTGCTATGAATCTGGGTCAGGGAACCATTCAGCCTTCAGAGTTCTCACTGTTTTCCACCTATGGGAAACAGCTGATTTTATTTAAAGCCTCAGAAAAGTTTTCTCTCCTAGAATCCAGCTTTTGAAATAATCATGACCAAGCTAGTTAAATAAGGTGCCCAGTTTGGCCTGGGGAGATGGCTCAGTGGATAAGGCTCTGGCCTTGCAAATGCAAGGATTGGAGTTCAGATCCCCAGGGGTCATGGAAAATCCAGGCAGCACTCAGGAAGCAGAGACAAGGCAACCCTGGGGCAAACTGGTAAGCTAGACTAGCTGGAATTGGTGAGCTCTGGGTTCAGTGAGAGACTCTGCCTCAATAAATAGAGTGGAGATGGATGGAGGAAGATACCCAACATCAAATTCAGGACTCCACATGTATGCAAATGTGTGTGTAAATGTAGCTGCACACACCTATGTGCCCACAACACATGTACACAAACATACACACACAATTTATCTCTCATAAATTCCTATCAGGCTGCAGAAAAGGGACAAAGTTCTAGATGGATCACATAACTCACTCTTCTGAAAGCAGCACATTTCTACTGCTGACATGGCTGAGATAACTGAAGATTATACTAAATGCTATGATCAGAAACCTTCACATTTCATCCCATTTGTACTAATGCATTGAGGGGGCAACTGAGGACCTATGTGGTTCAGTATGTAGCTCTATACTCAAATATACAGACAGGAAATAGCTTAGTCTGCAGGATGGGATGGAATGCAACATTCGTCTAACATGGAGAAGTCTCTCCTATCCCAACTCAAGCTTCACAGAACAATTTTGGACACTATGCAGTTATCCTGTGGTAACAAATAAAATGGTTTACAGTTATCAGAATGCTGTGAGTCCATTCCAAAGGTCAAAAAGATCAGTGTATGGAGAACTTGCAGTTTCTTTTCAGCTTGATCTCACACTGGACAGAAGGTGCCTAGGCAGTCAAAGTGACAGAGGACATTGGACATATCTTCATCTACACAAGTAACACTTCCCATATTGATGTACATCAGAAATGCTTCAAGAGAGAAAGGTTTCAATTCTGGAGACTAGAGATTTTCTTTCTATGTTCCAGTTGAATAATGTCACCAGGTAACCCTAACCACATGTAACACAGAGTATATGAGAGACACATAATCCATGTACAGAAAGAGGTAGCTTATGCACTCTGGATATATGAAATGCTGTCACAACAGAAAGCTGTATTTGGATCCAGTGTGCACAAATTAAAAATATGTATATACTTCTGATTCACTGAACAATTTGCTATATTTAAATTCAATAGAGGAATGCACAAAGAAGTTTAATGATACTATTTTAATAATCCATAGAAAGCATATATGTACACCCAATGAAGTCATCTTTATTGCATATTGCTATTTTTTAAAAAATGTACAGTCTCATAACACACACAACATTTTTTTCCTTGGTACTATAACAACAGTCTTGCACTTAAAGACTAAGTGGTTCCAACTACTAAGCTAGTAAGATATGACATTTAATTAAGTTTACAAATTATAATGCTTCATCTTTTTGGCATTAATAAAAAAAATCTTTAAAATACACACCCAAGAGAGAAAAGTGGCTACTTACACCAGCACCAGTCTAAAAAGTAGTTTTTTGTTTCAACAATGGCACATGGAATTACCTGCACACAGTTTTTAGGGAAGTAAACCAAAACCAGACATGGCAAAGGAGGCCTACCAGGATGGCCATATCAAAACGACAAGGATTAAAAAAAGGGCAAGAGGGACATGCTACACAAACTCGCTTTTTTTTTTTTTTTTTTTTTTTGTGACTCTTTCCACTTGTCTACTCCTTAAACTGTAAGACAAAGCCATTTTCAAAATACAGTTCCAAAGTTGAGCTGGACCAAATTTTTCCTGCTATAAATAGAAAAGAATATACATAGAGGCACTTTAGTTCAGGAACAGAGAAAACCTTCATTCTATCCCACTCCTCCTCTTCTCCAAGCTCCCTTGAGCCAAGTCTCCATGGGCAGTGTGGACATGGTGTGTGCAGACCATGGTTAACTAGGGGCTGGGTGAGTTTCACCTCTGCTTTGAATTTATGAGTGCTTTATTTGCAAGAGTCATTTACTTCCATATAATGGCTAGAAAGTCGCTAAGTTTGCAGTGAAAAAAAATGTAAAAAACACAGCTCTTGACAATTCTTAGAGCACTATTTCACAGCTTTCATACAGCACAGATACCTTGCCATCTGCACTAAGCATTATAGTTTATACAAATTATTTTTTAAATAGTATGATTCCTGTATAGTGTGCACATTGGTATTCTATCATCCCTGAAGACCCCCATCAGAATGTAAGCTCCTTGGGGGACAGGGACTCTGTCTTGCTTACCACTACAGCTCTACTATGCCTGGTACATAGTAAGTGCTTAATAAATATTTGCTAGCTGACAGAAAACTCAATTTGGTGAGTAAATAATGTTCTAGTGCAATAAGAAAAACTACTCTCTCCACAGGAAACCAAACCACAACAGGCTAGATGGAAAGAAAAAAGTCTAGTCTCCTCCCCCCATCCTACTACAAATAAATAAAGCAAAGGAAACAAAAGTAACAGTCCTCTTTATATATCATATAATTTAAGGATATTAAGAGTTGGTAGGCTAATGGTAAGCATCTATATTTTATTTTTTAATGCTTGTTGTTTTCATTCATTTCTCCCTGAGAGCTTTATTTTTTGGACTGAAATTTTACAGGTAGCTTTATTGACATACAATTTAAAATGACAACAAATAACAGCAACCATTTCAAATATTCTTTGAGATAAATAGATCTGGACATCTCTGTGGATGCTGTTGACATTTTGTGTATACTGTGATACTGTGAGTGTCCTTTATTCCAGAACTTTATTTACAGAACATGCAGCTTGGCCTACAAAACAGAAAATAGAAAACACCAAAAAAAAAAAAAAAGTGCCCCATTAAAAATAATCTTTATCCCTTCAAGGAATCAATTCTTCCATTAAGTCTTGGGCAGGGAAATTTTATTTTTCAGGTTTAGATATCAATATTATTAGAACAACAAATAGGACCTGGAAATCCTTTCCTTTAACAAGGGTATGGGTGCCACCTAAGATTGTGTTTTTTTTTTGAAAACAAGTTAAAGAAATCATCAAGAGCACTTGGCAGAAAACTTGATGAAACTGGGGGGAGGGGCAGATGTTCGCGCCTTAAATATATAACAGAATTCTGATTGATACTCTACATGATACGAATGTGTGCAAGATGTTCTCAATTTGTAGACGGCACCCCACACCAGAGTCAGGAGCTCTAAGTGGCTCTTTCATGTTAATCACTGATGTGGGCAACAGCTCACTCCGTCCACCACCGAAAAGCCATCTTAAATCTGTATTCTTCCAACTCCATTTCTACCAGTGAAAACAGCTTCAAATGTTACCAAGTTTGAAAACCATAAGATATTTCAGAAGACAAGCCATTTTTTCCTTCTTGTTTTCATCTCCTCCTCCTCCTTTATTTATTTATTTACTTATTTATTTAATTTATTTATTTATTTATTATTTTTCCTTTTTTGTGCTAGGGAATGTCTGTCATCTCTTTCAGGAGAGAGTATTGTGCTTCTGAACAATCATGGTATTCAGGGAAAGAAAATGAGCCCCACTCAATACGAACGCATACATGAAGAGCTTCTGAGCACACATATAAACATAAAACTTTTAACCATACACATGGGTCTCCAAACCACACTCAGACATCTATATACATTTTTCACATATATATATACACATACATTTACATACACACACATTCACACCTTCACTCACAGATGAGGGAAGAGGTTGCCATTGTTTGGATTGCAAGGCAGTGTAATGAAGAGCTCTAGTCACTTCAAAGGGCTGCTACTGAGCTTTCTAGAAAAGGATGCAAGAAAAATTAAAAATTAAGTTTTGTGATTGGTCGCTCTCTGCTGCTGTCTGTCACCTGGTTGGAAATGCGTTTGCGGTTCCGTTTCAGTTTAGAAAGGTCTTTGTCAAATACTTCTCCTGAGCGTAGAGCTGACACCAGGTCATCGAACTCTCCGCTCTCTTCGCTGTTCTCCTTCGCTTTTCTCAGTTTACGCTCCCTTTCCCGTTGCTCTTTGAGCTGCACACAGAAAGAAACCTCTTAGACAAGAGTGAACATGAATTTGGTTCTTAGCAGAGAATTAGGTGACAAATGGAAATGAATCACACTGAGCCAGTTCCACCTGGCTGTAGTTGTTAGTAGTTGTTAGCATGTTTGGAGCATGTGAAAGGGGGTGGGGGGTATGAGGGCTCAAAGCAGAAGGAAATGCCCCCTCACCATCTAGAGTCTAAGTTTCACTGTATTCTTGTTTAAAAATAGAGCAATTGAGGGGCTGGAGAGATGGCTCAGCGGTTAAGAACACTGGTTGTTCTTGCAGAAGACCCGGGCTTGAATCCCAGCACCCACATGGCAGCTAACAACTGTCTGTAACTGCAGTTCCAGGGCATCTGACAGCCTCTTCTGTCCTCCACAGGCATTGCACAACACAGGTGCACTTACCTACATGCAGGCAATACACGCATACACATAAAATAAAAATAATAAAATAAAATATTAAAAAAAAAGAGCAATTGAAGGACCAGGCGTGGTGGTTCATGCCTTTAATCCCAGCCCTTGGCGGGCAGAGGCAGGTGGATCTCTGTGAGTTCAAAGCCAGCCTAGTTTACATAGCGAGTTCCAGGCCAGCTGGGGCTACAGAGAGACGCTGTCTCAAAAAAGACAAAAATAAATAAATAAATAAAAAAAGAGCAATTGAGGCAATTTGTATTTCTATAATAGAACAAGAAAGTTAACAGACCCCAATATGGATTGGGTTGTTGTGGTCTAGAGACACTAAAGCAAATGGCAGACCAGTCCCCCTATATCAAAGGCTCAGCCTATACCAACTGGTCCTGCCTGGACCAGGTTACTGCCATTCAAAGCTAAATAATACACATACATTTTAGAAATTTTGATAATTCAGATAAAAGGGGAAAGAAAGCATCTAAGAGAGACCATTTTGAACCTTTGGTGTTGCTATTCTCTACATTAACATTTGGGGGCAGTACTGGGGGCTTGAACCCAGGGCCTCCTGCATGCTATGCAAGTGCTCTGCCCTTAAGTTATTTTCAGCTTAAGATTTACTTTTTAAACAAACAAAAATAAAAGATTTCATTTACAAAACAATTCTATAAACTTTTCCAAATGATTAAACAGTCTTTGAAGATGCATCTTTTACAGACAGCCAGAAATATTTTGTTGTATATGCCTATGCATTAATGAGAATCAATGTCCTTTTGGAAAACCTTTAAATATTTCCAGTTTAGGGCTATTATAAAGAATGCTTCTGCCTTTATGAAAATTTATGATTATTTATTGAAGGTAATTTCCAAGAAAAGGAGTTCCAATAGAAGGATGTGGGAAACTGTCAAAATGTTCAAGAAATGTGGTATTAACTTAAATTCCCAGAACCACTAGAGAACACAGTTATGTCCTTGATAGCACAGCACAGTACTGCTGGGAAGAAGGGCTGGGGCTGAGATGTAGCTCCGTGGAGGAGGGCTTGCCTATCATGTGTGAGCCCCTGGGTCTGGTCCTCAGCTCCGCCAAAGGAAAGACTGAACCAAACAAAACCAAGGGTTGCAGTCAAGGACCCTACAGGAGGTGACTGAGCGGCCTTCCTCTCACCTGAGCCTCCACACGAGCTCGCCGCTCTTCCTCCTCCTTCTTCCTCCTCATGTTTTCATTCTCCTGTTTGGCTTCTGACACAGCTTGAAGAAACTGATCAAAAATCCCAAAGAACTCATCTGGCTGTATTTTGCCAGCTTCTTCCCCAAAGTGCTTCACTGCTTTAGTGAACTGGAAAAAAAGATTAAAAAAAAAATTTAGTGTTCCAAGAGAATTAATTCCATGGTCAAGTTGAATTTTCTCTAGAAGGGACTAAAGCTCAAACACAGCTGGTGGACTGTAGTCAGTCTATTACCTCTCTTCAGCTGCTGAACGCATCTGTTAATTCTAAAGAAAGAATTTGAACAGTTCTGGAAATTAGAAGCTGTGTATCCCTTGACCTCATTTCAGCTTAACACCTATGATTACCTTCTATGGCTTTGTATTAACGAAATGACAGCAAAAACAAGAAAGCAAAATAGTACAGGGAAGAACACCTACAACACAAAAACTAATGGCAAGCGGAGCAGGGCTGGGGAACCTCGCACTTTTAGCTTTTCACTTATTGGTGCCATAGGGTGAGTATGGAAAGCAAATGGGAGCTGGTACCTTTTCTTAATCACAAATAATGCTAACATTGTTAGATTTCCTGGGTCCCAACTAGAAAACAGTAACTGGTCATGGGATCATTAATGCCACCCAGAGATTTTGACTGAGAATACTTTATTCCTACCCTAGGTCTCAGAAACCCTTTTAATGACTATCGTTTTAAAGAAGACAAATACAAAATTAAGGATAATTTAAAAAATCTAAATAAAAATATACGATGAATATGAAATTTCTTTGTAAACATTGTAACCATGTCTGATTTTAGTTCTCCTAGGGCTTAGTTTCATAACTCAATAGTTTTCCTTTGACTGTCTTTGAATTATCGATCACACAAGCTTAAGGCCCTCCAGGTTGTCTGCATCCTGTTATAAGGACCTAACACTGTTGCTCCGGTACCACCAAGGGCAGTGTTACAGGCTTCAAGGTCAACTGACGTCGCTTTTCCTGTGCTAATCAACTGCTTTTTTGACCTTTTATTTTCTTCATATTTAGACCAAGGTTTTTATTGTCTTCATTTCCATAGCATGTAATTGATTTTATTTTTCTCGCATGCATTCACTATACTGTCAAATTTTCAGATATTATAGTAATATAATGTATCCTAGAGAATGTTTTTAATGTTCTTAAAATAATTTTGACTGATACATATTTATGTATATTTTAGAACTACTTTATATTTTAAACTTTAATACTTGTGCATGCCTGTGTGTGAAAGTGTTGTATGTGTGGACAACTCTCAGGTGTCTGTGCTCTCCTTCAAATGTGGGCTCTGGGGATTGAACTCAGGTTGTCAGGCTTGCACAGCAAGTGCTTTTACTCACCAAACCATCTTGCTACTTTCTCTATTAAAATTTATAAGTCTTCCCACCACTTTTCTCTTTATGTGGAGCTGTTCTCAGTTTTACTTATTTGGAAATATTCTATTATAAAAGAGAGCTCTTTAGGGAAAAACATAACATTCTTCACACCCACATTGGTGTAGTCCAGCTTGATTCATGGCTTTATAAGATAATTTCTAAAAGTTCTGGAATGAACAAAACAGCAATGAACAGTCTACAATCGAGTTTCTAAAATATTCAAGTTCATGCACTTCAAACCAATCCAGAATGATCTTTTTATCTAGGAATTCCAGTGATGAAGTCATGTATATTTTAGTCTTAGAAATATGAAGGAACCTAGGGCCAGATTAAAGTTCCCACACACAAAAAAGTAGGGTTTCTGTATGTGTGTTTAAATAAAAAATAATAACCAGTTGATTATTATTAAAGTGTTTTAGCTCCTTAATGAGCTAGGTATTATATGAGGGCTACAAGATAGGTGTCCTTTCTACAAAGTGGAAGGGCTAATACAAGATATGGATGAGGTTCTCATAGTGGAGGTTTGGACCACACCCGTGGACATCATTCGCCTAGTTCCCATTGTGGGATATCAGAGCTGGGCCCCTAATGGCAGCCATCTGGCACATCATGTCTTATTTATTTAGTAAATTTGAGGGTAGCACTGAGATTAGCTGATGTCTGTGAACACAGTGAGCTTCTGAACTTCAGACCAATCATCCACACCCAATAACTGAACACCTGACACCACCACTCAAGTTTGGAAGGAGACTTAAGTAAAAGGAGAGGGATGGCAACTGAGTGCAGAACTCTAGGTGGGGAATGGACTTAATATTGCTTATGAACCAAAAAGGACGTGTGCATTTATGTATACATAAGTGGGTGTGTTTAGAAATTTTGGTTATTAGCCAAGAAACCTTTTCTACCACAAGAAAACAAAATCTTAAATAGGAAGAATCACAAGAAGAAATGTCTCACTAAAATAATGTTCCTTTTGTAATGAGGCTGTGAGCTAAAATGCATCTCAGTTAACATGCTCTGCATATTTGCAGGGGTGGTATCCTGTCCCCTTGAGGCTCTGTCTCCGAAACCATGCTACATGGAGGTGTGTGACCTTGGTCTCTCATGCTTCTGGTTTTCATTGTTTCCTCTGGTTCCAGAGATGAGCATTTCAGTCCAGTGGTATCCAAGGGAAAACTGCCACCGTATACTAGTTTATACCATTCCTTACCTTCAAGGTCTTGCTAACCAAAAGGCAACACAGGCCAGTTAGACAACAAAGGCATATTTCTTAAAAAAAACTTTTTTTGGTTTATTTTATTTTATTTTATGTGTATGAGTATTTTGCCTGCATGTATGTAAGTGCACCACATTCATGCAATGCCCAGGGGGGTGAAAAGAGGGAGGGTGTCAGAGTCCCTGGAACTGGAGTTCTGGATGATGGTTGTTAGACACCATGTGAGTGTTGGGAACTGAACCTGGGTACTCTGCAAGAGCAGCCAGTGTTCTTAACAACTGAGCTATCTCTCTACTTCCAACAAAGGTGTATTTCAATTAGTCCCTACCCTGGAGATGAAAACACAACTGCAACACACAACAGTGGAATTGGGGAAACAATTTTCTGTTTCTTTATTTCCTGGTGTGTGTCTGGAGCCCATTCCTGCTGCTTCCCAAACAGGACAGTATCTTCAAACAAAATCAAAGTTCAGCCCCAACAAACTACACAAGCAAGTGCATGGGGAAGCTTACCAGGTCCTTGGCTTCTGCTAGAAGGTCTTCAACATCTGAGAAACTGAAGCTAGCCACAGTGATGAACTGGCTGACAACAGACACAAATTTATCTCCAGGTTGTGGGGGCTGAGACTTCTGATACTCCAGCTCCTGAAACACAGGGAGTGGATGGATGATGACAGCATATGCTTTGAATGCATACACATCTTGTCTCTTATTCCACGGGCCTCAGGTTAAATAACTCATATAGCAAACACATCTAAAACATCCTCATTACTCTGACTAGCCATCGTCCTCTCTCCATGCCAGGGCCAGGCTCATGTGTACATGCATATCTGAGAACAGTTATTTAATTATCTGAGTATTTTATCAGTGATTTCTCATTTTGGTTTTAGAAGCAAATTAACATTTGAATAATATAACAGAAGTTGAACAATCAATTGGAGCACATTGGCTTGGAAGCATCTGTGAATGAAAGCATGGGGCTGCTGGCTGACAGTCTGTGCTGAGGTGTCTTGACTTTTTTTCTTCTTTCTTCCTCCCCCAAGTCTATTTACCTCCCACACCATGGTATCGAAGTCAGTGCAACTTTGACTGCAGCACGTGGCACCATAATCATTGACCCCTTTTCTTCTTGTCAGTACCATTAGGTTTTGGTGAACAGGCATGGAGGAGATGAGTTTCCTATTAATTTTCCATATTCTCCATTACCATAGTGATGAATGCACAGATGACGGAAATCCCACTTCAGTAATTTCAACCACTGTAGGTGCACTTCCTCATTGTCTACAACATCTCTACGAGTGCAGAGCCATTATTCCCATTGCACAGGTACATAAAATTTAGAGGTAGTTAATTCTTCACCCAAAGTCAAGAAGTTGATCAATGATGGAGGCAGGATTCCAGCTCAGGCCTGCCTGTCCCAAGTCTTGGCAGTAACTATGCTAAGTAGCACCTTACCACAATCTCTTCTCCACCTGCTTTGGCAGAAACACTAACCAGCAGGCGTGTAACGCTCATGGGCATTGGGTTATTGTTCTTAATGGCATGTTGCTCCAGGCCTCAGTGCCTTTGATTTAAAAATGAGGGCAATATTTGTATTGTTGTGAGAATCAAATGAAAGGACAGAAGTGAAAACTCAAATTATGGAGTTGGTTCTGATTAGAAGACATGGCCACAATTCTGGCACCTTGGTCTAGAAAGTGTGTGTGAGTGTGTGTGTGTGTGTGTGTGTGTGTGTGTATGAGAGAGAAAGATGGAGGGGTCTAGGGATGGAGAACTATCTTAGAGTTTCATTATCAGACCACATCCAAATTTATCTCTGATACGTCACACAATGACACTGACTTGGGCAAAGCATAAGTAGGACACATGAATATTGGGACAGGTCAAGCTCTGCTGCCTCCAGTGTTTTCTTTCAGGGTTACAGCTCAGCAGTTCAGCTGCACGGGGAGAGGAAGGCTTCTGTAGTCCCTTTTGTATGAAGAGCATGTTGCAGTATATATGACCCAGGGGATGCAGAGATTCAACAACACTGTGCTTTAATAAGCCAAAGCCACAGAATATCCTTGGAATACTACCCTGCCTGGTCTTGGTCTATGCTAACTCAGACACTGGGCTCAGAGTGTCTACTGTCGGGTTTTGGGGCCACAACAGCCACATGGGTCTCAGGAAAGTCTGAAAGGGGAAGAAAAGGCAATCAGTGAAGTTCAGACAACACCCCTGGCCAAAAGTACCCTGGATGGCCTGGGCTTTTCTCAGAGAGCCACAGAGGGATGTCCAGGTGCTCTATGACTCTGGACCTACTGGGGCTAAGAGCAATGGAGTTTTAATCAATTCCTGTACCTCCCTTCAGCCCTCAACCCACGAAAACCATGTTCCTAAATCTTAAACAAAAATAAAATAATTTTTATTAGCAGTATGTCTTCAATGAATTCAATACTGTGTAGTATAAAGGTTTGTGATTAAAACAGGAGAAGGGACAGTCCCATGGCATTACTGACAAGTGAGCTGAATGTATTTAAGGAGGGACACCTTTCAGGCTGCCTCCAAATAAAAAGCCTTTACCCAGTGCAGACAGGTCAGCCAGGAGTGGCCTCTGCAGATGATTCTGATCCCTGGCCTTCCCTCCATGCCGGTCAATTTGTGCAGCACCCCCATGGTGGTGTCTAGTACAGCTGTGCTGCATTCCTCCGTCTCCTCTATCTTCTGCTACATTCTCTGGCTCTTTTTTATCTTCTGCACCTGGACAGCCTCCTTCCTGTGCACCTGTTTACCCCATCCTGCTTCTAAGCCATGGCTCAAAGTTCATCTCCTCCAGGAGGTGCTTCCTCTAGTACCTGTCAGTCATTCACAAGCCTTCAGGCTAGCCTCAATCCAGCCCTTTCCTCCAGACACCTCTGGGATTACTGTGCTTATCTGGACAGGGCCCTGCCAGGGAACTGTTTCTGAAACTGTAACACTGGAAGGCAGGAATTCTAGGTCACCACAACCCTGCACCTTGGATGCGCGCAACCTGTATACCCAAGTGTGTGTGTGTGACCATTAAATACTCCCTAAAGGGCCAGTTCAGAGGCAACAGAGAAGTTGCATTGCTTGGTAAAAGTCAACATCAAATATTAACAGAACATGTAAACCATGCTCTTGAAGACCACCTGGATTAGCCTCATTAAGAGTGCCCTTGAAGACCACCTGGGCTAGCCTGCCCATTCCAAGGCAGCCTGCCTCCCAGGTGAACTGGTAGCACTCCAGGTTCGCTTCTGGCTCCCCCTGCAGTGAGCCACTGGACACAACCTGCCTCTGCTTCTCGGTGGTCTTTTTTGGGGGGGAAATCAATAGATGTTTATCCTAGGTAGACCGCAGGCCAAGGTGACCAGCAGCTCAAGGCCTCAAGGTCACCCTCATCAGGAAGATAGTAGAGACCGGGAACTAGAGTGGGAAGCAGACACTCACCGTCTCTACTGCTTTCAGACCGCTTCTCAAGGTACTTATTTCTTTGTCCAGCTCAGTCATGCTGTCGTAAATAGCAACATGTTAGTAGTCAGCATGGGACTTAATAGGGATTAAACAGATAATGGCTTTAGACATTTCCTGCTTGGGGGTCCATACCAGTTTATTTTAAATGTTTAAAAAACTAGGGCTGGTAAGATGGCTCAGCAGGTAAGGCACTTGCTTTTACACCTGAGTTTGATTCCCCAGAATGGACATGTTAGAAGGAGAGAACTGACTCTTGCAAGTAGTCCTGACTTTCATAGATGTGCTGTATGTAGCATGCATGTGCACACATGTACACGCCTGCACACAGATAGAATACATAAATGTAATAAAATAAAAACCCTTCTGCTCTCAGAGCTCACAGATTATAACATTTTAATTTTTAAAATTTATTTACCTTTACTTAATGTGTATGAGTAGTTTGCCTGCATGTATATAGGTGCAACATGTGTGTACAATACCTGTGAAGGCCAGAAGGTGGTGTGGATTCCTTGGAACTAGAGTTTGGGCCAGTTTGTTAGTTGCCATGTTGGTGCTGGGAGTCGAACCCAGGTCCTCTGCAAGAGCAGCCACTGCTCTTAACTGCTGAGCCAGCTCTCCAGCTCTGACTACGGCATTTAAAATGTATGGAATTTATGTGTAGAATTATTCTACATGCTTTTTGTTTGCCTCAGCCAGCAGGTATATTTAACAGGTTAAAAATAGCAGGGGAAAATGTTTCCCATGTGTACAAAAATAGTTTATGTCTCAACCGTGCAAAAAGTTTGCGTCAGCAAGTTGCTATATGTAGAAATAAAAGTCTTGCCATACTTGGCTCTCTGAGAAACTGAAAGGAACTGACTGGTCCAGAATCAAAGGCCCAGGAGCTCTTCAGTCAGGGTCCTGCTGCTCACTGAGGCTGCTGATGGTATGTATGAACAGTGCAGTGTAATGCCTTAAGTACCAACCAACAGGGACTTTTCCTACAGGTGTCCTAACTAACTAGTTTCCATTTTCATTGCCTTCATCTTTTTTTTTCTTTTTTAAAGGGGAGGGATTTCTGGGTTTCTCCTATAACGCTTTCTCTTTCACAGCTTTTAAACATTACGAATTAAAACTTAATTCTCACAGATATTTCATACAATATCAAAGAATTCACCATTTTCACTTACTTTGATATTTTAACTTCATGTTTTACATAGTGTATTTCCTACACCAAGCTCTACAGCGGGAAAGAATTGGCCTACTCATTATTCTTTGAAAATTCCCTGCAAAAGGTGCAGTTTAAACATATGTATACAAAGAGAGGGGGTAGGAGGGGGAAGGAAAGAGCAGCAGGGAAAATGGCCTGCTCCCTCATCTTGGAAACATGGTGCAAAATTTGTGGTAAAAAATTTGGCAACTTTCAATTTTATTTATAGCTTCTTGATTTGCATAACGCCTGCTTCCCATAAAGGGCTGCCTTGGTTTCAGGGACTGTGCGCATCTATGAAAATGACTAGCACACCCTTCCAGGGAGGCCTTCTATTTATTTAACCATGTGTCCTCATTTAACTCAGGATGCTTCTCTGTATAATGGAACTGCTGTTCAAAAGCATTAGGGAAACTACATTCATACACTTTCCTTTTTGTGGTACTGGGGATTGAACATATGGCCTCATACAGGCCACTTGGCAATAACCCTAGCCCTCTCTTTATTTTCTATTATGAGACAGTCTTACTAAGTTCCCCAGGATGGCTTTGACCTCACTTTGTAATCCTGTAGCCTTGAGCTTACAATCGTCCTAAGTAGGAGTAGCTGGGAGTACACACCTGTGCTTTTAGGCCCAATTTCCTATACTGACTAACTCAGAAAATCAGGTTTTATACAATGGGGCAGTAAGTATTCCAAAGGACCTAGAACACATATACATTCAAAACCTTGTAACACATTTGAATAATTCAGATGATTCAAACTTTATTACATGCAAATTCAGAGGAAAAGAAACAGAAGGACCGATTTCACGCTTTTGCACTTCATGCAGTGGCTGACAGGCAATCCAAGGGACTTAAAAACAGCTCACCAGGAGTACTTACTTTACTTTTGCTGCTTGAGGGATATCCCGCAATTCCTCATTTAGATTGAGAACCTTTGGGTATTTGTTTTCCACAATAGTTATTAGATAGTGCAAAAGGGTAATGTTCCTAAAATTAAAGAAGAGAACATTCAACATGATTAATCTGCGTATGATTTACACATTCAAGGGGTAGAAACCAGATTGCATTAAGAATTGGATGGAATGGCACAGGAACCAAGGCTGTTTAACACATTAAAGAGAGCAGCTGTTTTCAAGTCTAAAAGTCCTTTTCAAATCCAAAAAGCAGCTCACTGGTGATAATTACTGGTGGTTCTCACTTAAGGTTTCATCCAAAGGGTGGTCAGACAGAAAGTCTTTATTTCAGAACTGACCCTGGAAGTGGACCATAACTGTGTCATTATGTATATAATGTCCTTGCAGCTGTGAAATCACTTCTAATTTTAGCAGCTCTTTAGCTCTTAATGCATGACCCGACCCTTGGTAGTTACAACAGCTGTCTGTGCCAGTTCCTTGTCCGGTGGTGAAAGGGCTGAACCCTCACTGACCTGGATTGAAAAGGGGGGTGTCAGATAATGCTATCAGGCAAAGCTGTGTTAGTCTGGTTCTGCTGTCACCAGCTCTACTGCACATTACAATCACCTGGCCTCCAGATGCCTCCAGATGCCTGAGCCAATCCCAGAGATTCATTTAATTAGAATGAGGTAGGGCCTGGCATGGGTATTTATTAAAATTCCCTGGTGACTCCAACATGTAGCCAGGATCAAGAACTACTAACCTAGTGAAGTTGCCATAATAAGGGGTATACAAATACATTGCTTTAATAACATTTCCATAATTTAGGCAGCTTACTACAACCCCCAGCTCACTTATATCAAAATGAATCAGAACTGCCCAACAGTGAAAAATGCCTTTCCATAACAATGAGAAACATTTCTTGTTACCCCTCGCTTTGTTCAGACAATATAACCCTATTCCTGAATCAAGGGCTTAAAGAAATTCTTTTCTTTATTTTTCTTCCTCCCAGTAATTAGAAAACAATTTTCCAACAAAGCAAAACAGTGGGCAATAATTCTGGCCTCTCAGGTTTTCCTGAGCTCAGCTGTATCTTTTCCTTCAACTTCTGTTCATAGAACCTACCTGTCTGTCCTCTGCCTCTTACCTAGGGGCTTGTAGAGGGAGGGAACAAAAGGCCAGCTACCATCCTAAGAAGTAATGCTATTTTTCTTCACTGTTTTAGAGACAAGCGTTGTTATCTAGAAAAATGTCCATTAATTTGACATTTGCGTTTTAAAATTAAACCCAGGCAAGGTGTCCACATTTGGCAAAATGCAACTTCTTGATAAATGAACAACTGAACAGCCATAATCTAACTAGTCCTAGAGGCTCCAGGAGCCTGAATCTTCCATGCTGACTGCACCACCACTGATGCAGTTTGACTGAACTCTATTACACAACTGGACTTAACTGAATGAGTGACTGCTCACTAGCCAACCACTCTGGGAGGCACTGTAGCAGTACACACACAGGGGTTACATCTGAAGCCCAAATATTCAGAGGCAGAAAGAAAAGGAAAAAGAAAATCAGAAATAGTTTTTATTTATTCTTTTGGAAAAAGCTTGTACATGATACAAAGTCTGTAGCCACTTCAGTAAGCAGATAATCATGTTAAGGACCAAGTTTTATCAGTTAGTGTGGGGATGGATGTATGTTCCATTTTACATGTGTTTGTGTATGCATGAGAAATTGAAGAGAAGGCTTCCATAGAACAGGGGTTAAATACCCATGAGGCCACATACTTTGCTTGCTGTAACTTTGGGCAAGCTAAATGAGCCACTTGACACTGCCTCAGTTTCTTTATCTGACAACACATAAGTAATGTGACCTGTCTACTGCACCGGCTATTTTGACAAGTGAATGGGGGAGTCAAAGATTGGGTCTCACATTAGAAGTATGATGGCAGGGCTATATCACAACAGCCTCTCCTTACTCTGACTCCATAATGCAAAAATAACAGCTCAACACATGGATTATTTCTTTCATCATGGACCAAGGACTGCTGTATGCTATGCTTCACTAACCCTATAGGCGATATAAGGTAAAAATTCTCATTAGTGAGGAATAATTAAGGTGAACAGCCCATGGTTCTTAAAGGATTTGAGTATGGAGATGCTTACCTTAGAAACCAATTGTGCAAGTTCCTTTGAAGCCAGTGAGAACCTTGGAGAAACAAAGCTCTCAGGGAAACTAGAGTTAACATGCGTGATGACCCCACCTGTTAGCAATACAAGCAAGCTTGGGGCTTGGTGTTTCTAGCCAGATCTGTTCACTTCAACTGCAGTGGTGTACACTTTCTAGGAAGCATTTTAATGACCCTGGGAAAGCAGCTGAATACCAACAGGCAAAATGCATTTATATAGCTATTAGTGCCAATGTGTGAGGGAAAGCATAACCTAAAAACCTAAAAAATGTAGCACAAACTAACACTGTTCTTCTCTCTCCAGAACACAGGAGGGTCATGAGGAGATGTCCAGAGACCTGGGAGGGCTATTTCCTGGTCTCAGTTGTTTAGAGAATCCATCAAGCTGTATATTATGATCAGTGACATTTCTTTAGTATGTTATACTATAATTAAACATTTAAAATTATTTTTACATTTATTTATTGTGTGTGTGTGTGTGTGTGTGCGCGTGCGCGCGTGCGCATGCATGCACTCAAGCCAAGATCAGAAGACAACTTGCAGGAGCTGGCTCTCCTTCTACCATGTGGGATTTAGGAACTGAACTCAAATTCTCAGGCTTGGGGACAAGTGCCCTGACCTACTGAGGCATCTCACCAGCTCCAGAAGTTGTTCGTTTTTTTTTGAGAGGCAGGACCAATAAAAGAAAACCTGGAATAGAAAGTGCCCTATATATACACTTATATATGACACTGTCCCAATGGGAACCTGAGGGATGCCTGTGTTTGTGAAAGAGGAGGGAACACCGGGAGGGAGAGGAAAGAGGGGGGAGCACAGGAGGAGAGGGGAAGAAGAGGAACACAGGAGGAGGAGCTGGAGTACTTTCAGAAAGAGAAGCTCAAGACTGCAGTGTTCTGGGGACCCAAGGAGGAACAGGGTAGGCAATTCATGTCCAATATAGGCATCCAGATGCCCCAAATGTTGGAGGCCCTCACACTTACTTGTCAATACTGGATTTTGTGTCAGCAATCTTGTTTAAGCTGGAGATCTTGAATCCATAGGCATTGCCTCTCTGTCCTTTATTCATGTAATTTCCAAAAGCCAAAACCACCTCTAGGAGCTGCTTGAGGGCTTTGCTCCTGAACACTTCCTCTGAGCCTGAACGAATTGCTTTAAAGTAAAACATGTAAAACACAATGGTCATAACCAAGGCTTTCAGAGACACCTGTCCTAAATCCACATACACTAACAGATGGCGAAGCTTTAAGAGGGTCACTAGATTGTGATGGAACACTTTCAAAACATGCAAACTAGATGCAGAGCATAGATAACAGCTAATATGGTAGAAGATGCCACAGAGAGTGGCAAATTCCTCTCAGTTCTCAGCCCTTTTCAGGACTAACTCACCAACTTTAAGCATTTAGGAATACACAGAATAGCAGTTCCATTTCCAACATTCCTTTGCAAACACTCTCTTGCCTCATGTGAGTCAGATTAACAGGATTACTGGTCAATTCTGCTGCTAGAGAACTAGACAAATGGTTACATATTACGGCTTCCAGGTGTGGTATCAGATGGGTGCTTGGACTCCAGTTCTAGTGTGTGTTCTGTAGTTGTGCCTTTAGTGTTGTCTGCATCTCAAATATTTATAAACCTAACAGCCTAAAAGAGCCAACCCTTAGTAAAGCCCTGTTGTGAGAAAGCTACTTACAGGTTTGATGGAGTAATGGCCCAATTCATCCCTTAGCTATACCCATGTGGTCAAAAACTCAGTTCTACAGAGGAGCCCAGGGAGCCAGGTAGGTGTGTAGGGCTCCAGGGCCCAGACAAGGCCATGCCAACAGGCCTTAAGTAACCATCCATTGGAATTTCAAAAGATTTCAAGCAAACCATCACGAAAGCAATTATGCTTACTAAGTGAAATTGGCTTAAACTTGTACACCGGCACTTAAGACAAACACTTTCATGGTAGGCGGCTCAACTTTACCTTCCACTTTGGGTTTCACTTCTGCCACACGCTCTGCAAACTTCTTTTTGAAGTACAGTGACTGCAGTCTTTGCTGATAATGATTAATTCTGTAAGAGTAAGCATAGATTGATTAACACTCACTTAGGATGACAGCCCATTTCTCTCTGACCTGCATGGGATATTTGGGCAATTGATCAGAAACCTTCACTCAAACCAAAGTAGGCAACTTCTCAAGAGAGAGCCAGCTGCTGTTGACTAAAGCCCTTTCTTCCCTCAGAGTACCAGCAGCTCTTGTGAAAACACAGAGATGAAAAGGAATAAAAACGTAGACTCTCCACTTTCCTCCACTTCTCTCAAACCTCTTAACTTTGCACAAAGTTTGGCCCTTGGCAAGACTATAAAGACTTATCCCTAGCACATGCTCCTCATTCCTATCCCCAAACCTCTCCTTTTCTTTACAGTTAGCTCACTAAGCTACTCTCCTGAGAGTTGGCAAGCTCTGCCTTCCAGACAGCACCTAGAGGCCAGCACAGTGAACTCACTGGCCTCTGATCTGTACCTAGGCCACATGATTCTTATTGCTGAGTGTGTGGGGCTCACCGTGGGTCTTCTTACTCAGCTTCTGAAACGCATGTCTAACCTGCTCATAGTAGAAGCTTCAGTTCAGCAAGCCCAGGGACTAGCCCCTCTTCTAAAACTATCCTATATACCCCAACAGACCTATATTTGTAGCCCAACACTTCTATTAGGTGATTGTGAACAAGGCTCCTCTGAGTCTCATTTTCCCCATGGGCAGATGAAGAAAATAGCTACCTCCCCAGAGTCCCTCCAGGCAGGGCTGATAGGAGAATTACATGGTAAGACGCGTGCAAAGATCTAGAGATGCTTAAGAAGCGGCAGCTACTGCAGGTGGCCATAGGCTTATCCACAGAGGGTTGCTGGGTGTACCTTCAAAATTCCAAAGCCATTCTCTGTTTGCCAGTAGTCTCCAAAATGGCAAGTTACGATGGATCAACAACATAAAATTCAGTGTAGCCTTAGCAGGACTGGAGACTGAGAGACAACCTCCCCTTGGCTGCCTTTGTAGGCTGCTGGCACTGAGGGAAAGAGCTTTGCCCCAGTGGTCACTGACTTACATGTAAGATCACTGGTCCTTCTCTAACATGGAATCAGTTCACTAGGTCTGGAATGGCATACAGACTCAGTTCACATGCCAAACTCAATTATGAGGCAGTAGCTGCCCCAGGGCTTTCTGGAGAACGGTTGAGAAAGCTTTCTCAGACTCCGTGGGAAGAGTGCTATGATTGATTAGTGATGTCTGCATGTGTCGCAATTTGACATCCTGACCCTGGGCTTGTTCAGTTGTGAGGGCTCAAGGTTGACATTGTCAGAGTCTGTTGTTTTTTCCCCCTGTAATTTTTTAACAAACTTGAGATGCCAAGGTATTAGGAAGCAGAGATACTATCCTAAGAACTCAGAGTGGTGGTGGGAATGATGGTGACTGGACCCGCAAAGTTACAACCTGATAAGGCAGAGCACAGGGGCCACATGGGGCCATACAGATAGTTGTGAAGATGCTCACCTGCAGTAAGAACTCCCACAAACAAAACACTGAAGTCCCACACAACTCAGACTTGGAAAGATTTTTAGAACTGAAAAATGCTGTAAGACAGGTTAATCGGCCCAAGCAATTTAACCTGAACTGGAAGTTTAACTTCCTCATTGAGGAAAAAGGCAACTTTCATTTTCTAGTGTATTCCAACTCACCTGCTCATCTCAAATAGGAAGCGATCAGCCTTGGCCATCCGATCCAGCTCATGTTTATGTTCTTCTAGAAGGTCAATATCACTTTTCTCAGGAACAAATTTCAAAAGCTAAAGTGTGCATGTAAGTATTAAAAGGTTATTAAGTTAAATCCTCACAATTCATCCTTTCAGCTAATTTGCCACAAGATGAAATTTGAATATTTGCTTGACTTATGCTATGCTAACTGGAGACCAAGTCAAAAAAGAAACGATTAGATGTTGATTTGGAAGTATTTAAGTTGGTCTAAGAATCAGTTCTGATACTTTTCTATTCTTTGCCTTTCAAATAAGAATTGTGGAAGTTCTCTACCAGGATTTATTTTGCACAGATGGTTAGGGGGCCCCAAAGTTTCAACCCTCTCATTAGAAGGTGATAAAACTGAGGGTCAGTGAGATTCAGCAACTCACCCAGCATTACAAATCAAGTGTGAGCAACTGTCAGAAACAGAGCCCATGTCTCCCCCACTCCCAGTTCTGTGCTTCTTTTTTATTACATCATGATGGAATGAATGACTACCTTTATAGTTTCCATTCAATTTGCTTATATTTTCTGCTTATCTAATTCCATATTCTTTATTGCTCCATGTAGAATTCAATTAGAGAAACAGATTGAGATCTGAAGTTTGTGAGGCCAGTCTTTTATTTTGGAGTGAAATGTGAGCATGAGAAATGAAAGACATAGAACAACATTTAAAGTAGAGAAAAGTTACTTTCTGGGTGTCTGTCTTTCAAAGCACACACATTTGTATGTGTTTGTATGGGGTTGTGTGTGCACGCTATTTTCTAGAGCCAATGCTTTGGGTGTTTTTCTTTTCCTTCCAAACTGTAATGAGACCCTCTCCATAACTAGATGCCAGCATTGGGTAAACGGTTCATGTGGTAGGTATTCAAATGTCTGTTGGACCCTACAAAAAGCAGTTAGTCTAGGAGTCACCAGTAGAGAAAGAGAATTGAAATTAGAGAGAAGGAGGCATCAGGAGTCACTGGGAAGTGGTATAAGACTGACAGTATGTTCTAGGAGAACATGCACTATGTGCCAGGGCCTGGAACAGGTAGCCCAGGATTTATGCAGGCAAAAGAGAGCCTGTAACAACAGCAAGAGAGGGGGTGGGGGACAAGAACAGGCAGTAGCAGTGGCTTTATAAGAAATTCAGTCTTTATTTGGGGGATAACAGGCCTTAAAAAATCTTATGTAGTTGGGTGAGTTTGCATTTTAAATGATCACTGTGCTTACATAATAAAGAATCCAGAGTGATCAAAACTGTTAAGATTCATGATTAGATAGTAGGTGCAGTAACTCCAGGTGAGGTGATGGTGGTCTGGATTGGATACAGATAGAGGAACACTGTAGGGCTGTACAGGACTGACCTCTGGCTTAGCCATCCACATGCACAAAGTGTTACAGGAAACCAGGAGTCAAGGCTGAAGGTAGATGTAGATGGTAGAGCAGAAATTAGTTTAGTGTTTGAAATACTTACAAGAGAACTGAGCAGTGATTTCTAGTAGGCAAACATGTCTGAAACCCTAAAGGGATTTATCTGGAAGATGATACAGAAAGGTGACTTCAGGCAGGGATGTGAGATAAGCAAGAGATTGTTGAGAGAAAAAAAGGACTGGAGAAAACCAGTGCTCAAGGGACAAGGACAAGAAGAGGAGGAACCTGCAAAGAAGGCAATGGAGGTTCCTCTGGAGAGGCCTGTGTGACATCACAGGACTGAGGCAAGAATGTTTCACTCTCATAGGTGTCAAACACCACCAAGAAATCAAGAAAGATAAGGGCTGCAAAGTATCCTCTGGGTTGGGCAACAGGGAAGTGTGAGTGTTTTCAGCAAGAGCAGCATTCAGAGGTGAAGGAAACAAAGTACAGTGGGCTAATGAAGAGTGAAGAGGAGGAGAGTACCAGTAGGACAGGCTTTTAAGAACTCAGGTTGTGTCAGGAACAGAGGGGACAGCAGTAGGTGTGCGCGTGTGTGTGTGTGTGTGTGTGTGTGTGTGTGTGTGTGTGTGTGTGTGTGTGTGTGTGTGTGTGTGTGTGTGTCTTAAAGGTTGCAACATGCATCAGCTAAGAGTTGAGAGGGTGAGGTTGAAGATTGTGGGGAAGAGCAGTTAACCCACAAGGCTCCTGAGTAGAAGGAATGGATGGGATCAGGGCAGAAGAAAGAGATAGCCTCTTTTTGCTAACGGAACAAGGGAGGCCAGATAGCAGATGCCAGGGAGCTCATGGTCTAGTGGTCAGGAATGTTCTTGGGTATTTCTGTTCCTGGGTCTACATGATAACAGGGAACAGGAGGAGTCGCTTCATGCTCGTCCTCAGGAAAAGTTGTAGGGAAAGGAGAAGAGAGGAATAAGATGAAATCCTTAGTTTGGATTCTACCTTCTGGGCTATGAAGCTCAGTTCTAGTCTTGGGCTTCATTTCTACAGTTTGCCAAGCTCCAAGCCTCAACTAGTTGTGATAAGCTCCATCGGCCTGTGATTAGGAAAACAGAGCCCAGTGTGTCTTCTGTTACTTCAAAGAGCACAGGAAGAGGCAAGTGGCAAGACTCTGCCCCTCGCCAAGCAGAGGTGAGTAAAGAACCAAGTGTGGATGGTTTCCTAGAGGGTTGGAAAGTTAGGGCAACACCTGGGAACAGAAAAGATGCTTTCCAAGCTCACAGATCTCAGCCACGACCTGAGCGTGGGCATCATGGAATGAATGTGGTGTACATGAAGACTGTCAGCAGGAGTACGGAGATGCTGGGACAGACGCCTGACCCAGCATGAGTGGCACGTGCAAGCATGGTTGGCAGGACAGTACAACAAGGAAAGAAAGAGCGTGGGAGCTGAGCAGAGAGCAAGGCGCTCACAGAATTATCAGAGGGACCAGGTCAAAAATGTCCTTCTTGGCCAGATTCTGCATCACTGGACAGATTTTCTTACTTGTGTTTATTTGGAGTGTGTCTTATTTGCACTGCAAGCCTTTTTGGCAAGGTTTTAGAATCCTTTCCCTCAACGAGGAATTCTACTAGATTCAGTTTCACAGTAAACAGATCTTGTGGAATCTTAAGCATACAGCCTTATCAATAGAGGTTAAAGACAGAAGGACCAAAGCAGCTTTGCACATAGTTCTTCACTCTGGGTTAGTGACTTGAAGGCAGGGTCACCTGGAAGCTAGGGAGGGCTGAGGCCCTGTTTGGTTGGCTTATAGTGAGGGATGGAAGAGTGTGCAGGGAGCTGGAAATACTCCAAAAAGGAGGAATAATAAATTGTGTGTCCATGGAGCATCATGGGAGACCTTAAGAGGCAGTCATTAACTATTCTGAAAATTAAATCAAGGTTTTAAAGGACAGCATGTAAAGTTCTTCTATTGGGAAGTATGAGGTTTTCACTCAGGACACCTCCAACTGCAGACCCATTTAGGGGTGATGCTGCACACGTCACTCCTGCTTGCTGTGTCTGTTGCCTTCCAGAACATCAGTGGGAACCATGGAAAATGCACAGGAAGGCAGAGGGACACTTTATGAAGAGCACTCTCGCCATTCAAGACATAAAGCACCCCTTTTCTATACTTTAGGCTTTTGGGGCTGAGTATGCCTACAGATTGGTGGTCAGCCTGAGTGATGCTTGCTGGTACCCATAGTTCACCTTCAATGGATCTGGCTCTGACAAGTATGGGCTTTAAATCTGATCACTCAAAATCCAGTTCTGACCCAAAGATGAGTGACAGAAAGGTGGAGCAGTCTGAAAGCATTTTAAGATGATCACCATGGAGCTCAGAAATATTTAGGTCCTGACCAAGGGCTAAAGACAGATAACAAGCCTTGGCATATACACTGACACATGACAGTGAGAGTGGCTCCATAGAAATGCTCCACAACAGGTTACCATGTCAAATTGGCTGCTTGGCCACAAAGATACTATCCAGGGACTTGGGTGTGGGCTATGGGTAAGTTTCAGTTTACTGCTATTTATGCCACAAAAAGATGCCACATATTAACAGAGACAAGACTTAGCTCCAGGAAACTGACCACTCATTCAATGATGCATATGATTTGTTTAGAACAGGTGACAGTGCTAACAGCTTAATGGTGACTTGCATGCTTGTGGGAATGATGAGCCCAAGATGCAAAGTGTATTAAGAAATTAGGTTAGTAGCTTTGATCTCATAGTGTTAGTGAGATTTAAAATTTCTATGATACACATTTTATTTTTGTCCACTAAGCCTAGCAGATTTCTAAGGGCACCTTGAAGGACAGAATCTGGCACTTTTTAAATTAAAAACAATTTTGATTTATTTGTTTTTAGTGTATGAGTGTTATGCCTACAGGTAAGTGCACCATGTATATGCAATGTCCATGGAGGCAAGAAGAGGGCATCAGGTTCCCTGGAATTGGAGTTTCAAATGGCTGTTAGCTGCCATGTGGGTGCTGCAACCTGGACCTAGGTCCTCTGCAAGAGCAGCAAGTACTCTTAACCACTGAGCTATCTCTCCAGCCCACAAATTTATTTCCTAAAAAGACTGAATTTTGTCAGATGTGGTGGCACATGCCTTTAATCCCAGCACTCAGGAAGCAGAGGCAGGTGGAGGTCTATGAGATGGAGCCAGCCTGGTCTACACAGCAAGTTCCAGGCCAGCTGGGGCTATAGGGAGACCCTGTCTCAAAAAAAAAACCCAAACAAAAAGGATTTAATTCTCTCTTTCTCTCTCTCTCTCTCTCTCTCTCTCTCTCTCTCTCTCACACACACACACCACAAAAAACAAAACAAACAAAAAACTCATGTTGGAAGTCAGAAGAGGGCAAAGGATCCCCTGGAGCTATAGGTGGCTGTGCACTGCTTTACATGGTGCTGGAAACCAAACGGGTCCTCTAGAAGAACAGCATGGGCTCTTAACCGCTGAGACATCCCTCCAGCCCCATTTGACAAACTGTGACTTTCCTCTTCATCTATCATTCTGAGACAGAGAACAAAATCTCCTAAAAGCAACACATGGAACCCAGGTTCAATTTTCTCAATCCATAGATATGGAAATTATCTATTAGCAACACTGAATTTTCCTCATATCACCTTGGCTATTGAAAATCTGTGGCTACTTAGGCTCTGAGAGACGCCTGGCAGCTCACCTGTTCCAACATGTCCTTGGGCAGATCTTCCTGTTCATCCATTGTTAGAATTGCCCGTTTGATTTCATCATTGGATAATTTCAACCTGGAGAAAGAATATTTTCTTTTGTTGTTAACAATACTGGCATGAACGTCAAACTTTAACACAAGACAACTCATTTTGCTACACCAGCTGCTAATTTTCCAGTATGGATTTTCTCAAAATCTCTCAGTGAAAGCTTATTTCCCGACAATATAGGAAACTAAATATAGGATTTTGAAAGAGCTTTAACATTCTTCCAGGGCTATGTCATGCTCTGCTGACACAGGGAACAAGCGGCTATGTTCTATCATTAGTTTCCTAAATCGGGGAAAGTCAGAAATGGGGAAAATGTATATCACTGTTTTCTCATATCCTGTATCCAGGAGCTGAAGTGAGGTGAGAATGTGAAGGTCCCAGCTGCAGTAATGTCGGGACAGCTAAAAGCTTGCTGTCAGTTTAAAGATGGACTTCAATGTGTTTGCAAACCACAGGTTATGGCTAAAGTGCTGAACAGAGTTAAAGGCAAAATGAAATATAAAAGCACTTCATAGTTGAGGAATCTTCACATATTTTACTTTGATTATCAAAATAGCTGTGACAGTGTGGTTTGCTCACTATCAAACATCTATCGTCAACCCTGCCCCCGACATGATACATTTTAAAAATTTGAAATTGACAATTAGACATCTGGTTTTAAACACAAATATTGTTTATGTAGTCAATACCTCAAAGAACAGGGTTTATACTGAGCAAATATTGTATAACTGTATTATTTCAACTGTGAACCTAAAAATTTTATAGCCACTTTTGAAATAGATGTATCTTTGCTCTGGAATTGTTATTGAGTATGTTAAAGCTGTAATGAAATGCTGCTTCTTCTTCTTCTTCTTCTTCTTCAATTCTTCTTCTTCTTCTTTTTTTTTTTTTTTTTTTAAGACAGGTTCCCCTGAACTAGCCTCAAATGATTTACTAATTTAATTAGAAATTTACATTTCAAGTCAGGATAAGAAAATGTTCACTGTAAAACATAATAACTATGAAATTAAAATATACTTGTAAAAATGTGCTTTCTAGTCTGTACACCAAGAGTCAGAACTGGGGCAAACAGTCACACTACCGACTGAGACAACAAAATCAATCATTTGTTCTACCTGTACATATTCCATCCACATGCCATTTCCTTACAACCAGAGAGAGAGAGAGAGAGAGAGAGAGAGAGAGAGAGAGAGAGAGAAGAGAAGAGAACACATCATGTAGGGTACTTGGTAGACTACTCCTGGACATAGGCAGGCTAGGTAAACTATTTGCATACTCTACAGGGCAGACTTCTACACTGGAAACAAGGTGGCAGGTTACATTGTAATCTTAACATTCATGTGCTGCTGTCAGACTATGCCACAGTACTTGGTGTAGTTTTATTATCACCTCCTAAAGCATGCTACACCCATTACTTTACCTGAGTTTCCTCCCTGTATATGATAGCATCAGGCCTGGGAATATTAAAAAAAAAAATTGGGAGAGGTATCCTTGTCTCAAAGGTGATTATACTCTTAGGAGAGGTCGGTAGTGGAAACTCTTAGGGCACAAGGCACATGCTCACCCTGGTCTCACAGACAACCTGCAGGGCTGAGTGAAAGGACTGAAGACTCCAAGACACAGCAAGGATAAAGACCCCTCCTCCAGTTAAAACTACCCACTCTGCTATTTAAGCTGAATCCTGCTTTGTATGTCAATACATAGGAAAGAAAAGGAACACACTGTTTTTTATTTCATGGTCTCAAATCTAATAAATATAGCATCTAATGCCAAACTGTCCACATTGACAAATACGACCTATTTTACCCCCTCATCTGGGCTGTAGCGACATCTTCACCCCATGCTGGGTAGAGACATGCGGCCCTGGCAGACTTCTCAGGGCTGGTTCAGTCAGTCCTGAGTTAATTACTGTCTCATGAACATACTTTCCAGAACAGGACAGAAAAGCCTCATAATTAAGTGGGAACAGTTTAGCTAAGATGACCTAGGCAATGTATACAACAAGGGGAAAAATTGTCTCAGCACAGCTCTCCACTGTCAAGGTTCTGGGAAGCCTGGATTCTAGGACATTATATGCTCATGAGTCAACTTTAATGCCAACACAAGACCAATAAAGGGACAGTAACTCGAGGGAAGACTAAAATTGCCACTAGTGAAAACCAATCAGCTTGGAAACATCTATAATCATCACAAGAGCTCTGCTTATTACATTAATTAATTAGTTAATTGTGTATATGTGTATGGGGGGTGGGTATGTGGGTGTGTGTGTGTGGGGGGTGTGCATGCCATGGCATATGTGTGAAGATCAGGGTACAGCTTTCAAGAACTAGTTCTCTCCTTCCATTATGTGGTCCTGAGGATTGAACTCAGGTCATTGGGCAGTGGTAAGGGTGGTAAGTGCCTTTAGTAACCTGCTAAGCCATCTCATGTGGCTTCAAGTTCTACCTGTAAGAAAAAAAAAATCATTTCTGTGTCCTTGTCACATCTAGTTGAAGAAATCATTTTATGGTGTAGTTCTACTGAGTCCTGTTTTGCACTGGAAAGAAAATGAGTTGAAAATCAGAGTGAGAACAATACTTGAAGTATTGGATTTGCATTTCATTAGCTCCCCATATGTAGCACATAACTTCTTGCTTTTGAAATTGTATATATTTATGCTTTTCAGCCCCCAGAGGCAGTCTGGACTAAACACTAGCGTTAATTCAAAACGATTCTGGGTTCTCTTAATGTGACCCACAAAGAGACTGAGACTTTAATGAATGGTACTTTAGAAAATATACCTGTCAACAGAATGCCATGCATGTGGCCTGTGGGTCAGACAAAGAAAGCCTACCTTAGGATCAAGGATACAAGGTACCCGCTCTCTGGTGTAGTTCTACAGGTTGCAGTGTTCTTAGATCATCTGTCACCTCCAGAATGAGCCTTTAATCTCTGTAATTTAAGGACCCTATGGATTCTAGCCTTTTAAGTGCTTTTAAGAGCTTGGCAATGCTCTTGGTGTGCTGTGGGGTGGCAGCTTTTGAGACCTCCACCTCAACTTTCTTTTCAAGGCAGGAAACAAACCAGCCCACTTAACACAGTATTTAACTCTACCTTCCTCTACCTGAGTGTTTAAAATATTTGCCCAGAAAATCAGAATATTTAAGCATAATTAAGATAAATTAAGGATGGGCAGCTAGATCAGCCTTAGCTTTGCTCCAGTGGGTTTAAAACAAATCCCCCTACTTAAAAAAGTAGGGTTTTTTTTTGTGTGTGTATGGTTTATGACACCCAGGTTACCATATCAAGTAAGGATATGGAAAAAGAATAGCAGGACACTTCATAAAAGTGTACTCTGGGGGTGGAGATGGTATTTTTCAATATAAACTTGCCTCCAAGTTTCTGTCTTTTTGTGTGGGGGGGGGAAGGAGGGGAAGGGAGGGGAGAGAGGGAGAGAGAGACTGATTCTGTTTGAGGGCTTAAAGCATTTTGAATTTTAAATTGCTACATGTATGTTACCCATATATACAGAACAGAAAAGTTGCTTATTCTGTTGAGGGGTCTATTTTAATAATACAGATTAATCTAACAGATGTGAGGCAAGCTCTTAACAGCTTATCATTCTGAGGTATGTCATGGCCACTCCAACAGCTTCTCATTCTGAGGTATGTCATGGCCACTCCAACAGCTTCTCATTCTGAGGTATGTCATGGCCACTCCACTCTCAAAGTATGTAACAGACAGGAAAGACCCTGGCATCCCAGGGCTCCCCATTCAAACCCCTACCTTCTTTTCCTTCTGTTCCTGAGCACTTTGAGTGACCTGGATCACATAAGTTTTAATCACCTACTTAACCAGGCATGACATGAGGAAAGCTACCTACTTTGGGCTCTAAACCAGGTGATGTCAGGCTCCCCTAACCAAAGGGTCCCTTAACTTTTACAGGAGAAAACTCTGTAAAGGATAACCGAGCACTGTGGAGAGGTACTCGTGAAAATACAGCCATGGAATATACCACAGTCTTTCACTGTGGTAGGTGTTGGTGTAATGATTGCTGAGAAACTCCTAATCAGCAAGAGAAGAAGCAGAGAGGTTACCAGCCTTACGAATGAAAAATGCAGGAAAGAAGAAAGATAACTTTCATCTCTGTCAGCTCTGGACCCATGAGTCTTGCCTGGACAACAGAAGCAGACTCCTCACCTGCAACAAGCTCTTGATCCCTCCTACCTTATCCTGTAAATCAAGACCAAACTTAAAACACTGCTCTGCCCCCCACAGATACACACCCAGCCATCAGGTGAGCAGCTACCACAGGGACTTCACACACGCAAGGATGATTCTCACTCTCCCAATCCAAAACTATGTTGGCCATGATCTCCAATTTATAGAACAGGGGGGTATGACTTGGTCCTGGACAACTCAGGCCTCTATAAAGGCTAAAGATGAATCCCAGACTCTCCTGTCAGTTTTCACTGAATCCAACTGATAATCCTGCTGTACATCAGGGCTTTCTTTACCAACTGCTTCCTTATTCCCTCCATCTAGATCTCTGGTGCATACTCTTTAGAGGCCTACTCTCTTTGAGGCCACTTCCTCTAGTAAACCCACACAGAGCCCCTCTCTCATATGCCCGAGTTCCCAGGGTCCTTCCAGTCAGACCAGTATAACCCTGAATTATGTGTCTTCCCTCAGTGCCACTGTTCTTCTCCAGCTAGCCTTAAATTTTCAAAGGCAGCAACGCCATCTATTTAGTATGCTCCCTTTCACTGTGATAAACTGCCTGTTGTAATGACCTTGAAAGAAGAGAGACATGTTTGGCTCATAGTTTCAGAGGTGTAATCTATGGTCTCTTAGCTCCACTGCTGTGGGCCTGTGCTAAGGCAGAACATCTTGGTGGGAAGGGTGTGGCAAAGCAAAAGGACTGCATCAAGATAGGTAGGGAAGCAGTAACAAGATGGTGTGTCTAATTATGAATCCATCAATGTGGATTGATCCACTGCGATCTTTAAAGCCCTCATGATCCAATCATTTTTCAAAAGTTCCAGTTCTGAGCCTTGTATTAGGGGTCAAGCCCTCAGAGGACACTTCATATTGAAAATATAATACTATCTCAAGTTCTGGTAGACCCTATAGCACCTAGCACAGTGGTATGTGAATAAATGCCCTAAAGTGCTGACTGTCTAGGGGAAAAGCCCCAGACACGCTTTCCGATGTCTATCTCCTGCTCTGAGTTGCTAGCATTTTCCTATGTAATGATAAATCACCAATGAAAAAGAGAGAATAAAAACTCCTAACTGCCTAGAAAACAAAGTAAAAAGCCAGTTTAACTTCTTTTACATTACCACTGCATATATTTAACACTTCAGCAATGTGTGAGGATTTAATAATTATCACCAAACAGAAAAGCAAGTATATGGAAATCTCTCAGGAGAGAAGGGTTTTAACCTGGTCAACAAGGTATCACTCACTGGGACTCAAAATTACATCCTTGCCCTCAACATGCCTTTTAATTTTGTTCACTGTAATATATAGTAATTAAAGGAGATTTTCATAGGTAATTTAACAGGTACCAGAAAGTTCTTAAAATTCTCTTCAAGACACAGATGCATACAAGTTCTAAGTCATATTAAGCTCTATGACTTTTGAGGTAACAGGGTAACACAGCATAGATATGAAATAATTCCTTTAATAATGGAATGGGAAATTTACTAGAAAGAGTTGCAGCTTTGTCTGTAACTAGTGTAAGTATCCCGGGTGAAACTTAAAAGCCTTAAAACACGGAAACTCAGTGATATCCTCCTTGTGAGGCTGTATTAAAAGTGTGCCTCTGTCTTTCTGTTTTATTTTTTTAATTTTTAATTTTATTATTTTGTGTTTTGCCTGCATATATGTAAGTGCACAATGCCCATGGAGGTCAGAAGAGGGCGTTGGATGCCTTGAAACTAGTTACAGATGGCTGTTAGCTGTCATGCGGGTGCGGGTGCTGAGAGTATAACCCCAGTCCCTCTTTCTGGTTTTTTTTCACATGGGGCCTTTTGCTACTCTTAACATTCCCCGCTCTGAAGAGGTTACCCTAAAATCTTTTAGGGATTAGATAAGAGCTCATAAATACTTTTGACATTTTTGGCCTTTGGAACAGAGTATGTTGCTATGAAGCCCAAGGACATTTTGACTTTTAGCCAAGAAACTGGCTACTTTTCTTTGGGGTCTTTTCCCCCTAACTGCCTAGCCAATTCCTACCTCCTATTCTTATCACACCATCCTCTGAAGAGGTTAGCCAAACTGATGATAGGGAATCTGGACACAGACCACTATATGGGAGGTGTTGGAGGGGAAGGATGGGCATGGATTTGATCAAAACACCTTATATGCATGTGTGAAATTCTCAATAAAGTTTTTTAAAAGTTAAAAAAAAGTGTGCTTCTAAGTGCAATGGAACAAAACATAGGGAGATTCTCAGATATAAAAAAACAACTTTCTCCAAATCATCACTTAATTTTGCAACCAAGAATGTTATTTGTAAAAAGGTAACAAAATTTATACACCATGGAAGAACACAAATAGACTCTCAAGTTATCTTCAATGGTGTCTTCTTAAAGCAGGTTGATATTTTATATAACCTGTGCATGGTTCATGGAGAAAAAGCAAGGACAAACACAAAGCCTTCTAGCTAGAGAAGGAATGAAGTGCTAACAGGTGGCTTATGTTACCTTACAAGCTGCATTAAAATTCAGGGGTCTCAAGAAAGCTCAATTTTCCTTTCATTAAAAGAAACACATGCCCCTTAAAGTAAAAAAAAAGTCAACAATCAAGTTTCTATGTCAGAAACTAAGCAGAAGCTCTTTGTGTTCAAAGAAACTCAGGCTCTGACCAGTTAAGGCCCAAGGACTACCACTTTCTGTCTCATTTCTCTCCAACAGTCACTTTATACCAGCGTCAGTGCACACACAACATTCCTTCCAGACTGTAGCTTATCTTTAAAGCTCCAACATCAACATTCTTTACCTCATGAACCACCAGCACTAGTTATCTTTCCCTCCTATGGAAATACCTTTCAGAGAAAGGAAGAAAATACATATAGAAAAGCTGCTTGAAATGCCCAGGACAACCTGAGCACATTGCCTGACGATGCAGTCACAATCTGGGTTCCCAAATCCCCTTTCTTCTTTTCATGTTCCAAGGCCTTAATTCACTTACAAACTATGAGAAAGATTTCTAAAGAAGGTTGAGATGGATAAATTTATATTTCCTTGAGATTTGAGATTTACATATCTTTATAAAACAAACTAAAAATGCTCAAAAAGAAAATGAACTTGCATAATACTGAAGTATAAAAAGGTGACATTAGAAAGCAAAGTAGCCATCCATATGCTCCTGATTCTGTTACAGTGCTAAGCAAAGATTAAAAGTTTCCATAACTAATAAAAGTCAAGTCCATTTCTTAGGTTTCTGGAAAGAAAACACCAGCTTAGAGGGTTGGCATCCAGCTCTGATACATCTCACCAGGGAAGGTGTCACCAAGGATTCCTCCTCACGCTAAACACAAGGGATCCAAAGACCTGTACGTACTTCAGCAGGGAACAGCTAAAATTAAATGACAAACATGTGGTTCTGAGCCACACAACAGAAAAGCTGGTCCTGCTAGAAGTGTTTATTTAACATCACCAGTACCTCGACAGAAGGATGTTGCAATTCTGAGCTCTCCGACCATCAATCACTGACAGCTCTTTGACTTTATGTTTGGAACTCAGTGTGTCATCAATGGCATCTGCTTCTTTCTGGAAAGAACACAAGAGAAATCCATCAAAGTCAAACAGGGACACTCAGACTTCAGATATATGCATTCCCTTCACATTTTCTGTTCACACACACACAATGCTCACATACACATGGGTCAAGCTGAGATGATGAGGGCATTTTGGGAAGGTGGTGAAATCGCAACAAAGACCACTCTGTAGTTGTCAAAGAGAATAATAAGAAAAGTTGACCACCCACATTTGAAGAAGCATTATTTGGAAGAACAAAGCACTTCCAAGTGGAAGATGGTAAGCGTGCATAAATAATCAGTGAGTGATGCTGTTGGTCATTTTGTCCCTCAAATCTCTATGGACAGGAGACAGAAGAACTGTCACTACGAATCAAGCTAGCAGAACCACATCATTACTGGTCCAGTCATTTGCAGGGCCCATTCACCCCAGAATCATCTATAATCTCAACGTTCATGAAAGTAAACAATAAAACCTCCAACATCTTCCTGTATAACAGGAAGTTCCCAAGGCCAAATGTACCTTTCATTACCCAAGCCTGACAGAGCAACTACAGCGAGGGGACATTTCAAGACATCTGCTCTGCTACCTGAATTAACAATTAAACACTAGTTGCATATTCTATTTGCACATTCATTCATGTTATCCAGATATAATTAGGGTGAAATAGGCATAAAACAATTCAATGCAAAACACATGTGAGGTACTGTAATAAGACAAAATTCAAGGTGAGATTACAGACTAACTTGATAAGCAGCAAGTTTGATTTCAGTAGTTAGGAACTATTAAAAATGCATTATGGCATTTCAAAAATAAGAGGAAATCAGAGAGCTCTAGAACTGTGTAACAGTTTAGAAAACAAAAGCAGCATAAAATAGATGACATAAAGCACCATGGAACCAAACACCAAAGGTCTCCTGTGTGCCAATTTCAGGCATACCTCTAGATATTCCATTATCTAGTTGAAGCCCAAGGTGGAATCACCCAGGCATTGCATCACACTAATAACAAGATAACTAAGATTTTTCAAGCTTACAGTGAGTCAAGGAGTTATATTAAGCAAGGTTTATGTAGTAGCTCACTTACCTGCTTGGAGTTACTGTTCATAAAGAAATCCTACAGCCATGGCAGAGGCATGGAAAAGGTAAATCAGACACATGCAGTTCATAAATCACAGTAACAAATGGGGAAAGTCAAAGCAGTCAAGGAAGTCAGTGGTACAGGATAAGAGGCTAAGAGATGTTCTGTGGCCCTGCAATCATCAAGTTGAGTGAGCCAATCTGGCTTAAGGTACAGTGAAAACCACAGTACAAGGCATTTGGGGTAAAGAAAGACAAGGAACAACAGTTGCTATACACCATTTTAAATGGTAGCAAATCAAATTCAAAAAAGGACTTGGAAGGATCCAAGCTGGGAATACAAGTCTTTTTAAAAATAATGACCAGGCTCCCACTTATTCAACATGGTGTGTGTGTGTGTGTGTGTGTGTGTGTGTGTGTGTGTGTGTGTACATGTTCGTGCATGTACATGTGTAGTGCTCCAAACTTGTGTATGTACTAGGCAAACACTCTACCATTGAGTTACATTACCATCTAACATGTTCAATTTTTACCTGAAGTAGGAGATTATCAATTAAATTCATCAACTTGATTAAACAATTCCTATTGTCATATTGTACAGAAAATGTGTCTTTCTTGGTGGAAATAATGTCTTCTTGCATCATACAGAAGGATTAAGGAAAGAAAGTAGAACAACCTAAGTTGGCAACACCAACTCTGTGGTGCAAATGGCAAAATGGCAGTAGGTGCTGTGGGGAGGTCTGAGGAAAAAGGCAGAGCATGGAACTGAGAAACAACTGGTGCAGCTGTTGGTGGCCGTGTCCTGTGGCCTCCGATGTTTAAGTGCACAAGGCTACCAGCTTCGGCCTGAAAGATTTTTAGAAAAGACTTGGAGCAAAGAAGAGAAAGAAGAGTTAAGTGACATTAGAAAGCGGCAGCTTTTTGTGCCTATTTTTGCACCAGATACGAGCAAAGCTTCCGTGTGCAATATACATCCCAGCTTTGGGGCCAACAGTGGGTACAACTAGCATTTGCTCAGCAGATTCCTTAAGGTCTCCCTGGTCTCGGCAGCACTGCCAAGACCAATTTTACACACATGAGCTGTTTTGCATAATTCTTCTAGTGGGAAACAGAACTCATCCTTTCCTTAGTCTGCCCATGTCTAGAAAGGCATTTAAAAGTAAGTTGATAACCACAAGAAACCTTTCTCCTCTGATAGCCCAGTTTCTTTTCACCTTGGCTATAACTCAGGTTTTCTGTTCTGAAGCTTGTTAGGACTCTTCCTGTAAAAAGCAGTTTTAAGGGCAGAAGACTCTGGTAGAATAAGTCCATGAGGTCAGCTTAACCAAAGAAAATTACTACTTGAATTTAGGTCCTGCTCTCACTGTCTAGCTTTGAAAAAAAACAAACCTCCATGAAATTCTCTGGAAACTCATTTTATATCTTTTTTTTTTTTAACTTTTACAAAAACTTTACTGAGAATTTCACACATGTATATAAGGTATTTTGATCAATGTACACTATTGGGAAGCTAAGACTTCTGACCTCTGGTGCAGTAGGCTGCATAATCAGGCAGTTGACATTTACTGCACATGTGCTCTGGGGCTCAGTTTCTCCATCGATAAAATGAAATTATTATTGTGAGGGTTAAATGTGATAATTAATGTATGCAGAACTTCTGTGTAGTATCCAGTACTTTTTTTATGAGCCTGATATTTGGAAGCTAACTTATGACACAATTATTTTAGCTTTTGAACTGACAAATCCACATCTCCTCCTTTGCTCTTCTCTTGGCTGAGTGGTAGAAGAGCTGATCAAGATGTAGCAGCCATATGCATGACAGTCAACAGCTAAGCAATGTATTTTATCTTTCCAGAGGGGAGGGCAAAGAACACATGCAAGGGTTTGGTAATTATTAACCTCAAGATTCTGCTTTTTTGAAGATCCACTAATCAACACATTACAAACATACTCACAAAGTTTATGGGCTTTGTCAGATGGGGCATACTAGAAATAATGGTCTATTTCAAGTAAGTCAAGATTCTATTTAAAACCTTATTCCTTCAAAACCCAAAAGGAAATACAAATGGGCTTCAAATATAAATAAGAAGTTGGTACTTGTAAACTAGACAGTGAGAGCAGGATTTTTCTCTGGTTAGGTTGACCACATGGACTTCATTCTACCAGAGTGTTCTGTCCTTAAAACTACCTTTTACAGGAACCAGTGCTGATAAACTACTGGAAATCAGGTTCTACAATGAAATAATGGCTCAACATTACACAGGTAATGATAATCCTTGCATGATGGCTCTTAATCCTTTCGAACTGAAACACTGATAAATGCAACAAAATCTAGGGATCCCTCTCCATGGGGGAAAATATATATATATATACACACACACACACACACACACACACACACACACGGGACCAAGCAGGACCTGTAATTTAACATTTTGGCTTTGTTTTGTTTTTTTTTAAATGATGCAATCCTGTACTTGATAGTTCTTACTATGGGACCAAGCAGGACCTGTAATTTAACATTTTGGCTTTGTTTTGTTTTTTTTTAAATGATGTTAAAAAGGTTTTTATTTATTTTTATTTTATGTGTATGAGCATCTGCCTCCAGGTATGTAAGTGTACCCGTGTTGTGCAATGCCTGCAGAGTCCAGAAGAGGGTGTCTGATCCCCTGGAATTGGTGTAATGGACAGTTGGTAGCTGCCATGTGGGTACTGGGAAATGAACCCAGGTCCTCTGCAAGAGCAGCCTGCTCTTAACCGCTGAGCCATCTCTCCAGCCCCCCTAAATAATGTGTTTTTGTTTTATTTTTTTTCTAATTCATGATTTTCTCTTCTGCCTCCAAATGCCTTCAAACTAAGAATCAAGAGTGTTGAAAGTTGGAGGTGTAGGAAAGTGGTAGAGAATTTACCTAGCATGCATGAAGACCTAGATTCAATCTCTCTCATTGCAAAAAAAAACACAAAAAAACAAAAAAACAAAAAACAGAAAAACAAACAACAAAAACAACAAAAAAACCCCAAACTAAAACTATTGAAAAAAATTTCCAAGTCACATGCCTTTTCCAATGTGCAAATTAGATGCATAGAATAATAACTGGAAAAAGAATGAAGAGAGAAAAATTCTAAAATTCTTTGACAATTTATAAAAAGTCTGCAGATACTCCTAAAAATTCCATCAAATGGGACCCTAAATGGCTTACAATATTACATCCTAGCAGTAGAGTTGGAGTCTGGAGCCTGGGCCAGTAGCTTTGCTTTGTTCCCTAAATCAAAGGGCAGAAACTTTGAAATTTTATATTATGTGGAGATCATAGGATCCAAAAGAAGAGCTGTCCTCAGGCAAAGAGCAGGAAGGAGAGAGAGAGATCAAGCTGCTGATGTGTTGGTATAGAGCGATGACTCCTTTTAGGCAAATGTATCTTTAGCTCATTTCCCTCTATTCAACCGCATTAATATGGGAGAGATGAATTTATAGCATGTCAGGATGAAAATTTCCCATAAAACAGACGTGAGGATTGTTTAATTGTATCTTAACAACACTATTATGCAGCACACGATGTTATGTATTAAAAATGAGACTCTTGTGGCTGACCTGGAGATCATGTATAATGTAGCTCCTGTGAGGAAGGTCTTGAGATTCAAGAAATTGACTTTCAAATGAACTTTGTAATGTGCACAGGGGAATAAGTGCACGCTATTAAATTCCATTTCATGGGATTCATATGCTTACATAATTGGCTCTGCACACCTTTAATATATACAATGAAAAAAATTCTTAAAACTGGAGGTAAAGAAAATCCTTTACACAGTCTGGGAGTCATAATGAATAAAACCAGATGAAAGAACAAAGAGAAACAGAGAACTCTGTAGTGTTGGCTGTGTCACCTGTGGGATACCAAATACACACTAAACCATATTTCTATTATCTGTAATACAGGAACAATATCCCCCCTCTTAGAGCTGGGATGAGCATTAAATAAGAAAATAAGTACATGAGCTCCTTGAGAACTAAACTGCTGAATTAAGAAATGTTTATATCACACTCCACACTAGAAAAGGACTGTGTGTCAATATTGAACATCATCTCTTAGTCCATATGATAGATATTTTCTCATCTCTGTTTTATACTATGTTATATTATGGGCCCATGTAAAACTTTAATGTATTTGAACCCTTCATATATAAAGAAGATAATATAAATATCTGATTTTATGATAAAATACTTCTTAAATCAATTGTTGTATTTTATATGTGTCTGAGAATATAAGCATTAGAAGCAAATGCATGTGTGCTTGTATGGGTCTAAGTGTGTGTTTCTCTACACATGTACATATGCATACATCCCCTACAGTCATTGTTAATTTAAATTATGCTAATTTGATACTGCTGCACTATCCCCAAACCATATTCTATAAGTCCCTATTACATGCACATAGGTACTGGTGTTCCTTTGCCTGCCTGGAAAATTTATCTAGCCAAATAATTGGCTGAAGCCCAGAGTTTGACCAAATTTCATAAATCTGGAGGAAGGAAAGAAGACACATAATGGAAAGAAATGGATTCCCAGGATTCATTTGGGAATAGAAAAAGAGCAGCTTAAATCTGGGAATTAGATATGTATGCACTGCCAATTTTGAAATGAACACACACGGGTCTTTGATGTAACCATCACGGGATGGGACAGTCAGTGACAGGCACTCCACTTCAGATACTCTGCTCTATACATTCCAATTATAATGCCTGCAGTTCTTCTCATTCTGACTCTCAACATTTTGTAAACTCAATAAAATGGCTCAAGTTACCCTTATTTGGAAAATATATTGATAGTTTAAAAATTCTCATCTTCAATTCTTTTTAAAAATATTTTATTTATTATTTATGTGTATTAAGTGTATAGTCTGCGTGTGTTTAAGTGTACCTGTATCATGCAATGCTTGTGGAGGTCAGAAGAGGGCGTCAGATCCCCTGGAACTAGAGTTACAGATGGTGTTCAGCCATCATGTGGGTGCAGGGAATCGAACCCAGGTCCTCTGCAAGAACAGTCAGTGCTCTTAACTGCTGAGCCATTTCTCCAGTCCCCTTATCTTCAATTCTTACAACAAGAGGGGAAACATGTAGACCTTTAATCTAACCACTCAGATCTCTTTGTGTTCGAGGCTAGCCTAATGTACATACTGGGTTCCAGGCCAGTCAGAGCTACATAGTAAGATCCTATCTAAAACAAAAGGGGGGAGGGCTACATAAAATACTCAAGTGAAGCAGGTGTGTTGAAATTTCTCTTCGGGAAGTGTTGCTGAAAATATGGTCACAACTCATCCTATTCACCAGTCTACTCAGTGTTAAGTAGAGCCAAAATGTACTGGTCTATCCTGTCTGGGATGACTACTGATTACTTAAACAGTGTTGGTTGCTAGGAGACAGTTACTCAATTGTCAGAGTTTCTGCAGCTCTGTCTCTCAGAGCTCTTGAAAACTGTCCACATATCTGTCCTGCAGCATTTTGGCAGCATCCTGCTGCACCTTCTGCTGAAAGCCAGTTAATTATGAGGCTTGTAAACTTGGGTCTTTCAACCACCTGCCTTCACCATAAATGCAACCCACATGCTTAGACTTGAATAGCATCATTTGGAATCACTGCTGCTTCCCCTTCATTTAATATACTCTGTATGTGCCCAACCCTTTATCTCAGACAACTCTAAGTGGGAAAGCAAACAGATAACCAGACTAGAAGATTATTTGAATTACTTGGAAATTTACTAAAACGTCCTATGATTTTTATGTCAAGACCCAAGAGACTCCTTCCTAGGACATCAGACAGAGAGAAGAGGCACATGGCAGCCAATCGGGAGTGAGTCTGAGCAGAGGACATACAGGATGAGAGATCTGAACATACACCCTTTGTTCTCCCTTTGAAAAGGAGGGTGCATTGCTTTCTACTGGACAACTCCTTACCTTCTTTTTCATTTTCCTTTACTAGTGCATAGAGTACTGTACAAGATGCCTTCTTACTTATGGAGGTGCAGATTCTGTTTTAGGGTGCGTGCCATCATGGCAGCCAAGTACCTTAATCTTCCTACTTTACCAAATCAGTACAAAAGGCATTGCAGAGAAGCTTTCTCTATCTTCCAGCAAAAGACTCTACTGCAGTACCAGCCCTGCTCCCATTTTGTTTGTATCAAAAGCCATCTTGAAAAGAAAGTCTTTGCTTTGGTTCCTCCTTAGCCTCTGTCCGTCTTCCCCTTTGGTGTTAGTGTTTCTTTTCGGAGACATTCTTTCTTAGGAACCAAGCCAAGCAAGCTGACTAGGAAGTCTGCTGCTTGTTTAAGGATGCTCCACCCTGGTCATGATTCATGCAAGAATCAAGCTTGGGAAATCCCTGTGCAGATGCCCAGCACTTGTATAACCCATCTGAGATCAGTACACACTCTTCACTAGTTCTGTCCTTCAGTCAGTCAGCTTTAAGATCTTTCTCTTCATACCTCTGGGCTCAATTTTCCCCTCCCAAGGCTCTATTGATTGTGCCTTGCCTTAGCTTTGTTCTTCTGGAACAAAGCTAAGGCAAGCTCCATGCCTGGTTACCTTGCTTCAGAGGTTTGGAGGAGGCCCTCTGGAGCAACAAAAGAGTCTACACAGACATGACCAGGGCTCATACAGTGAGGCTGCCTGCTAGGGTTCATCATTGTGTGCAGGCAGCAGGCATCAAATCACATGCGCTTGCTACCGTTACAGAAGTTTCCCTAACACTGGAGTAGCTGCCCTGGCTCTGCTGATATCCCTGCTAGCTCCATACTTGTTCAGCCTGTGCAGCCCTACTCCTGAGCTCATCGTGTTCATGACATTTGGCTAAAATGACTCTATTTAGTTGCTAAATCATAGTTACTTACTAATCCCAATACTTCTAAAGGGTCCATCTAGTCCAAAAGGCATTTTGCTTCTGAAACTAACCATTTGATGTGTTTCTTTTTGGTTCTTTTTCCTTAGAGAAATGAAAAACAAGTCCTGTGAAGTGACAATACTTTTTTCCCTTAGGGATTCATTTTGAATGAGCACAGAGATAATCAGACACAGTATTCTCTACACACAGAGTCAAGGCTGTGGACACAGACTATGGCAGGAAGAAGCTTCCTGACAAGCGGCCCATATGTCTTCAATAGTTCACATACACTGATGGTCTGCTGGGCACATACATGGGCATGCAGCCATGCTGCTTGCAGAACAGATCAGGGGAGACCAAACGGCATCCCAATATAGTGCTCATGCATCATGGTTATGCAGATGGCCCAGGGATCATGTACAAAGACACAGTGCTTTGGGGGCATCTGGAAGGTTCATGCTGTTACCTGCTGTCTTTGGTAGGCAGAAAAAGTTCTTTCCAGGTCTTCAAGGTCTAGAATTTTGAAGACTTTGGTATCATCGATTTCAGTCCATACTGTTCCTTCCAGTTTGTTCTATAGAAACATCAAGTTAACAATTCTATGGTTGATAGTCATAAAGAAAAGAATAGAACAGGTATGGATGTTTTGAAAAACTGCCTCTATTCCAAATTTTTCATTCTACAGGATACTCAAAATGAGCTAGTTTCAAACAATGTGTTATTATTTCAGAAGCAATGTTACCTAGTATATGAGCTGGTGAGAACCCCAAGTCCACACTACATGATCAAGTTATCCAGCAGCAGGATGCTTCCCCCTAAGTGATGACACTGACCCATTGGTGCAGAAATGGGAACAAATGGCCTACCTCAGGCAGCTTAGACCAGTTGAAGGACTTCAGGGCATTGGTTGGCTGAGGAATGTTTTTCTTCTTGAGTGCCAGACTTACTGGAGCACCAGGAGGTGGCATGATTCCCCCTAAGGGAGGAGGCCCTGGGGGAGGGGGGGGACCCCCGGGAGGCAGGGGAGGTGGTGGAGGAGGAAGTGCTCCCCCTGAGAGGAGTAGGGGTGGTGGGGGAGGAAGGAGAGACCCAGGCACAGAGGAAGGAAAGGGTCCCCCTGGGGCTCCAGGTGAGGGTCCTCCTGGGACTGAAGCACAGATGGTCCTCTGAAAAGTAAACAAGAAAAGAAGTCAAGGGAAGGAAATTCATTGGATGATTCTGAGAATTTAATTTTGCCTAAGGAATATATAATAGACCAATCACGTTCTGAGAATGTGGGTTTCAAGGGCAGATAAGTGTAATGGACTTTTGGGGGCCCCCATGGCCTCTGGGGTATGCCTTTATTCTTGACACCCAAGTAGTTGGTCTGTGGAGCCTTCAAGCCTCTCACTCCTGATTGGTAGTAAAAACTCCAAACCAGCTGTGCAACCTACCCTACAGGATGGCAGGGACCTACCCTACAGGATGGCAGGGCTACCCTACAGGATGGCAGGGGCTACCCTACAGGATGGCAGGGACAGGGAGTCCATACTACTATGATCAATTGAGAAAACTTTTCAGAGTTCATTCCTGCATCATTGTCTACTCCAGGGTGAGATGCCTGGGAATAACACAGCCCCCGTGGACAAGAGGCCACAATCCTCACCCTGCTGAGCTCATGGAGCTGCGCTGTAAGATCTGCCACCTGCTGCTTGACTTGCTTGTGCTCAGTAGTCTCCTTTTCAAGTTTCTCTTTCATTTTATTTAAGGTCTGCATCATTTCTTCTTTCTCTTGGGTCTTGGCATCACATTCTCTCTCTTTCTTTTCTAGCTTCTGTTGTAGTTCATTGTGTTCTATATAAGGAAACAATGGGGCACGAAAATAGGAGTCTTCAGAGATGAAGCATTTTCTTAAGAAAAAAATAAAAGGGCTGAGGATGATGCTAAGACCATGGTCTTCCTTAGCTGGCTATCAATTCTCTTCTCTACTGAGGGGCAACTCAAGAGCTAGACAGCGTTCACTCTGGGAAAGGGCATCGCAGAACAACTTCATTACATTTGGGGAAGGATCAAAGAAGAGACTCTAAAGCCATGATTCTAAAAATGAAACAAAAGTTTGAGTACGGAGAATGGTGCCTGTTTAGTAGCTAATTCCACTTCTGAATCCTGTCATAGAAGTGGCCTAATAGCTACAATAGAGAAAACAAATATTAAAAGGCCTCTTCTCATAAATTAGAATGGGTCAGGGAGAAGCCCAGCTCTGGTGACTGAGGTTTGGTGGCTCCTGCCCCACTAGCAGGAGGAGGATTTTGTAACAGAGCTGCTGGCAGACCCAGTGTGATTCTGAAACTGAGTCATGCCTCCCAGCCCCCTGGGAAGGCTACCTGAAGCACTTCATATTTCTGGCAAGCAATTACTAAAACTTGTGAAGGCAAATGCTATCATCTCCTTACTAAATGTCTTAAGGGTGGTAGTGAGAGTCACAGTAATGTGAGGAGAAAAAGTAGCTCTCAGCTGTGGTTTGACTGACAATCTCAGGCTTGCTACCAAGGAACAGGGCATCCAATTTAGCGTAATGCTATCCACATTGCCAATGAATGTAAGTTTGATGACGGGAGTGATAAGTTTGGGGAAAAAAGGAATAATAAAGTTTAGGCTGCAGATTTATATTTCAATTACTTGGACTCGGTTCCTATTTTTCTTATATCAGTGAACACAACAGAGATCCAGCCCACTGGGGTTGAGTTGTACACAACTGGTATCTACTTCTGAATTTGATAACATTCTTATTGTTTCTGTCTCTGACCTTCTCTTGTCTATGGCTCCCCAAATTGGAATTTATAGGGAGGGTGTGAACCATTAAAATTCTTGAGTTTCACTAGCTTTAAAGTTAAGGCAACTTTTACCTCACATCTACCACTCCACTATGTGTGACTTGTGGTGCACATCTAAACAGAACCTCCCTGCATTCCTTTTTTTCTTCTATCATTTTGTTCGTCAGGCATAGTTAAAAGACTATGAATGGGCCTTACCCTCCTACATCATCAGTCTTTGTCAAACCTGGCTGTGCCTTAGATTCAGTGAGTAGTCTTAGCATTTCAAGATCACTGCAGCAGATCCCTCTCCAAGCAGTCTACTCAGTAGGTGCGTGCTGGGTTTAGGAGGATGGTTTGCAAAGGCTCCCTGATGACCCTAATGTGAGGCAGGTTTTGAAAGTACTAGACTAAAAATCTATCTCCAAAACTGACATCCACTCACCATCCATTCACTGAGTTTCTACTGAGCGCCTCTCATGGTGCTGTGCACCAGTGACTTCTCCCTCAAGTATTCTCCACCTTTTTGGTCCAAATAACTTCCTGTTTCCATAAGCCTACCTTCTAATTTGTCACCAGGTACCTTCATCAATCTAACTTTGCTAGCTGAACTCATTCTCTCTATAACGCCTCTTCTCTTATGCTGTACTATTCCTGCACTGATCTTTCCACTGACCTTGAAGTCTTTCTCCTGGACCACCTTACCACCTGAATCCTGTAATGCTGCTATAATTGGTTGTGCAATTAGTATGTGCCCAACACTATGCTAATCTTCCATGTCTTTTATCATTTCATCTTTTCAAGAACCCTGTGAGTTAGGTTTAATACTCATGTTGTAGGAGGGGAGATCTGAGGGGAAGAGAGTATATCACAGGAAGGAAGGAAAGAAGGAAGGAAGGAAGGAAGGAAGGAAGGAAGGAAGGAAGGAAGGAAGGAAGGAAGGAAGGGAGGGTGGGTTCAGAATGGCAATGAGAACCCTGCATGGTTCAAAGCACGGGAGGCACTAGGTGTCCCCTGAATGCCTGGCTTAATGCCTCCAAAGCTCCTGTCCTCAGCTGTGTACTAAACCTCCAAGCTCCACAGTGCATTCTTAAACATCTGCTCATCAACTGCCCCAGTTTGCTTTCTATTGCTGTGATAAACACCATGACCTAAAACTACCTGGGGGAAGAAAGGATTTATCTCATCTTACACTTTCAGGTCATAATTCATCACTGAGGGAAGTCAGGACAGGAACTCAAGGCACGGGGCTTGAAGCAGAAGCCATGAGGAACCCTACTTATTGGCTCAATCTCAGGCTCAGCCCAGGTCTACCTGCTCAAGGATGGTACTGACCACAGTGGGCACAGTGCTACATCACTTGGCAATCAAGAAAATGCCCACAGACTTGCCCATGGCTAGTCTGTCAAGACAATCCCCAAAATGAGACAGCCTAAACTCTGGGCAGTGTCAAGTTGATGACTGAGGCAAACTGAGAGACTGACTGTTCTCTCTTTGGTTTAATCTCTCTTTACCCTAAATCTTAGGCAATGTTTTGATTCTTTCTTTCCATAGAGGATTCTGGAATTTATTAATAGAATTTCTTTGAGAGAAATGTGGATATATACGAGGAACTTGTAACATAGCAGTGCTTGTCCTGTGCTTTTTCTGATCTCTCTGGTAGCCCCAATGTTTTTTGCTCAATGGCTAAGGACCAATGTGATGTGAGAGAGGAAGTGCTTAGCTCCAGGATACTTGTTTCAGAGCATTAGATACTGAGTGGGTAAGTGCGGTTGTATTTCACTGGCTGTGACTGAATGACTTGGATAAGAAGGCAGTTCATTATGCAGGGTGGTGAGAGGAGTGGCTGGAAATGCCAACTGTATATACGAAGGGGCAACTTTCATTTGCTACTTTTCTGAAGGAGGGAGGAAAACTGCACACTTCTGTGAGTGGCTGGCACCAGGAGGAACGCAAATGTCTCTCCTGTCACTTGGGCTGTGATAATGTCAAACCCATATTCAAATATTCACTAGTGGCTGGCCTGGTTATGTTGGTAACATTTACTCTGCAGTGACCATTGCTCTGCATGATTTCTCTTTCTTTGAGTGGTGTCACTGAAGGTCATGGAGAGAACTGGACAGCTGAAACCAAATGGCCTGTGCTTCTCCTCTAAGAGTTTGAGTAAATCCTAGAATCCTTGTTACAGTTCTTAAAACTCAAAGAACTTTAAATAAAGAACAAGTATGGAGCAGAAGGGGAAGGAGGCTTAGATGCTTGACAGATTTTAAAGGAAACCTGAATTAACAAATTATTCTTATTACATTTATTTAATTATTGTGTAAGTGTGTGTTGTGTGTCTCTGTGTGTGTCTGTGTCTATAGACATATGCATGGAGGTCAGAGGGCAATTTGCAGGATTCAATTCTCCCCTTATATTATATAGGTCCTGGGGATCCAACTCAGGTTGTTAGGCTTGGCAGCAAGTACCTTTACCCACTGAGGTATCTTATGGGCCCTTTAAAATAAGTTACATTTACTTATTTTGAACTACCAAATATGAACAGCAAATGTTACAAGCTTTTCCAAAATATTTATAAAGTAATATAATAAAAGAATGAAATACTTGGGAATCAGCAAGACAACTAAAATAGCTTGATTCAGAAAGAGTCAGTGCAAAATGCCCTTAAGACATGGAGAAAAGAAAAGGCTACTTGATGCACGTAGGTCAGCATGAATTATCAATGCAAAGTTCCCAGAGCACAACCAGCAGGGTCAGCTAACCAGGGTCTTGTCATTTACCTTTTCTCATTTTCTCTGCCTGTTCTTTCCACAACTTAACTTCATTTTCATTAACCAACCTGTAGAGCAGTTAAAGGAATACTTGTTGAAACAAAACAAAATATTATATGTCCATTGTCAAATGCATTCTCCTGAGGGACAAAAATGGTTTACTCCAAAGAAAATCCTCCATGCATGCTTGAAAAACATTGAACCCCAGATGTTGCTGAGATAGATTTCATGTGTCTGTACAGTAACTTGTATTTGACCTCTAGAACATTTCATCTATCCAACTGTTACTGTGAAGCAGGACAAAATGAGTAGCTTACATTGTCGTCAGGGTGAGAAGAGACTTACATTCGTACCACATTCTTAATATTAAAGTTCTCCAAAGGCGTGGAGTCGGGGTCCTGTCCTTTGTCATTCTGGATAACTATTTGCTGTATAATTCTGTCTAGCAGCAGCCAATACTGAACAGTGTTACCACTTCTCTTATCTAAAAAGGAAAAGGGGTTGAAAACTCTCTTCAAGTTGTTCGTAAACTAGGATGAATGTTTTTCAACATCAGTCACCCTTTGGAGCCACAGCAAAGAGAGATATTTACATCATCTGCACCAATGTGTCCCAGTTTCTGGAATTCTGACAAAGTGATGATCATTCATTTGATTAAGAGGCACTCTCTATACCTCTTTCTACACAAGATGTAAAGCATGCATTCATTTTTGAAATCAAAGTAAATTATAGCTTACTTCATTTCAAGGATTATATAACAGCCCTTAATCTGCTAGGAAACACACATTAGGCAGTCACAAAGCCGAGGCTTGGGATCCCAATCTAATCAGTACTGCTGAGGGTAGAGAGCCATTTGGATGCTGTCCAAACATTCCAAGGCACCCGCATAGTCCCACCACTCACAAGGCATCTGGAGGCAATGGTGCAGGATGGACATGAAGTGAGGGTAGGCTTCACTGTGAGTCAGCCTCTTTCTGGTCAGCTCAAACATCTGAGTTGCACTTTTTGTGTCTATGTGAACCTATTTTATAGGAAAAACAAATCTGAATCAAACATCCAAGCTCCTTAATTTCCCTGATACAGGAAGAGCATAGGAAAGGCAAACACAAACTAATCCTGCCATTTAGGTAACAGTGGAATCCTGATTTTGTTCATAGACACTGGCCCATGTCAACTCACAGAACACATTTCAGGAGGGAAATTCTGTGATCTGATGAGTCAAATGCATAATTACAAGAATACATACCAGTTCGAATCTTTTGGCAAATTCTAGTTCATCTTCATTTCGGAGCATTTCAAAAAAGTCTAAATGCCTGAAAGATCATTCAACAAAAGTTACTACAAAGCAGAACATCTCACAAACACAAGCACATTGGACAGAGGACATTAATATATAGGTCTAGGCACAGTGTGGTGGTGCATAGCTGTATCCCATTACCCAGGAGGTGAAGACAGGAGTATTTTCAAGTTCAAGGCTAGCCTGGACTACACAGTGAGACTCTGTCTCAAAAAACCAAAGGCAAGGGGTGTAGTTTAGTAGTAGAGTACTTGTCATCACATGCAAAGCCCGGGGTAAGGCTATGGAGTGGGAAGCCCTGGGTTTGACACTCCTACCACCCAGAACAGGAGAAAAAGTACAGGGGGAGGGTGCTTTCCTGATTTCTCAGAGTGAAATCTCTAAAAGAAACAAGGTAATAGAACTTGAAGCCTTTGTTTAACTATGTTTTTTCTAAGAAAAAAACCTATATTATTTAAGTATGAGCACAGTAAGAAACTGAAAGCCTAGGATGTATAGCATACAGTAGACCATCAGCAAATGAATACATACACATTTATTAGATCTAAGAAGTCCAGGCTCTTTTTATGGAAAAACAAGCCTGTATACCCACACTTGACCTGCCCTTAAATTAAAGATCACAAAAGAAATATTCATGTTGTTCATTCGTGCACATACTGATTAACCTCGTACACTGTTCCACACTCCAGGACTATAAGGTCTATAAAGACAAACAATAATGGTAAAGGGAAGGGGAAACCCAGGGAATGGAAGGGCACATGCACAGCAGTTGACGAGCTCTCTGCAGGGAACGAGGGAATAAGCAATCAGAACATCTGTGAGAATGTTTGGCGCTGAGGAAATTCTAAGCACAAGTGTCTTGAGGCAAGAGTGTCTGGTGTGTGTCACTATCAAGAAGAGTATGATGCAGCACACGGATGAAGGTAAAGGGAGGGGGAAGGGAGTGTCTGCAAGCTAGGGGAGCAGCTTAGAAACCATAATAAGTCAACAGCAACTGGAAACTCACTTTCAGAGAATAACTATTCAAGTTACTAAGTGACCTACAGGTTTTAGGGTCAATTTTGGTGACAGAGCTAGAAGGCAGTTGTCGTTGCTAGTATCAGCATTCTTCTAGAAGGTGTAAAATTGAAATTTAGGAGCCAGGCGTGGTGGCGCATGCCTAATCCTAGCACTCAGGAGGCAGAGGCAGGCGGATCTCTGTGAGTTCAAGGCCAGTGAATTCCAGGACAGTTGGGGCTACAGGGAGACCCTGTCTCCAAAAGACCAAAAAAAAAAAAAAAGTGAAATTTAGAAAAAGTGAGTAACTTGAGAGGGAGTAACTAGACATGGGCGGCAACACGATGGCAGGATACAGATCCAGGTATGCCACACCCTGCACACAGTAAGCTATATAGGAACTACACTGCTTCTTATATGACAAGTCTCTTAAGAAAAACACATTTATGCATGCTAACATGCTATACAAGCTCCTTAGATTACAGGCAAGTTGGAAGTAGCCCACTGTGGGCCTTTGACAGGTGCTGCCACATGTGGATACAGCATGAGCTCTCTCAAACCATAACGGTCTGACTTACCTGTCTAATGTTGAATTTTCATGTTCTCTTAATTTATCTATAACAGGCTGAATTCCTAACATCAGAAATTCATAGCGAAGATGAAGTCTGAAGTCTAAACTCTCCTGGAAAGGGTGATAAAATACATATAATTTTTCAACTAAATAGTAAACCTGTTGAACAATTATTCTTTAGTGATATATGTAAAAGTACAGTACTGAGGTGCTTACCACTCCTGCTCCCTGGCTTAGGACTGCGTTGATGAAGGACATAATGGCAGTCTTGAGACTCACTTCATCCCGGTAACGCCCAGTGCTCTTATCCAAGTCATTAATTAATGTCTGTTGAAGACAGAAATGTAAGAAAAGATGGAGGCATCATCATCCCCATCTATGCTCATTTTATGAGGTTTTATGTCTGGAAACTAATTTTTAAAATCTTGTATTTAGTCAAAATTGCACCCATCCATAGAAGGTCACCTTTATAACTTAAGATTAGTATTATAAACTTACAACTCTTTATCAAGTATGTTCACAAATATGTGCACTTACTGTTTACATCTGAGTAAAAATATGATGACATAATCTCACTATTAATATTGATCCAAAATAAAGAATAGCAACCTGTAAACTTTTCAGGGAACACTCCATGTAGTAGAGTCAAAAGATGTGATCTATATAATACATAGGGTGTAGGGCCACATTCTTGACCGAAGTCTGATTAACTGTAGAAAGCATATTCTATTTTCTGATTCTTTTGGAGGGGGTGGGGTGGAGCTTCTTTTTGCTTTTTGAGACATGGTCTTACTATGTAGCCCTGGCTAGCCTCTGGAACTTGGCTCTGTAGAAGAGGCTGTCCTCAGTCTCACAGAGATCCACCTGCCTCTGTTTCCCAAGTGCGGGGGTTAAAGGTGTGGGTAACCACACCTGACGTATTTTCTGGCTCTTGATCCTAAAATGAAGTCACAGTGCAAGCAATCGCCAAGGTGTGTGTGTGTGTGTGTGTGTGTGTGTGTGTATCAAGTAATTTTTTCCTTTGGGACCAGAAAGGGTGACTTATTTTCTGGTTCTTGAAGTGTGTGTGTGTGTGTGTGTGTGTGTGTGTGTGTGTGTGTGTATGTGTGTATATGTGGTATATGGGGT